TTCATCTGTATTTTCACTGCTGTTTTTTGCTCCTATCTGGATTTCTCTTTTGTCCTTCCAGGATACTCAGTACATGCAAGTTATACTATACGGTAAATGGAAACATAGTAATTGTTTTTCGTTTTAAAACTATCTGGTAGTTTAATTAAAAACATGCCAAATATCGCTCCCACCTATCCCTTGAACAAAACTAACAATATGAAACACTACCAATCAACACACAGTGTTAAATGAACTATAGAGGCATTTTCTGTGGTTGTTCATTTTTTGTGGATTGGACGAATTCGCAAAACATACAATCGCAAAATATTTTTGAAATATTTTAAAATTCAAATTTTCTATCAAGTGCATCATCTTTATATTTTACTTTCGGCAATCGTTTGAAAATGGTTGCCATGGTACAATGTACTAGTATGCCGGTGTATGTATGGTTGAGAATGTGTCTTTCCGATGAGTTTCTTGGTATCCAACTATATCATCCTTTTGTAGAGGAAGTGAATTACACCATTGCCACAGTAGAAGACATGTATGCTCCAGGAAACAGAAATACAACCTTAAGCAAATGTAATACAGTAGATGCGTGAACCAGAAAAGACTCAAATCAAAGATCTGTATTCTTAATAAAGTAGAAAGAACAATAAGGAGAAAGAGAGGAAATACAATGTTTTGCACATTCTATGTATATATATATATATTTTATAATTACATAAATCTGTCCATGAGAAAGTAAAAACGGTATATATGTATTGCGCTGAAATACTAGAAAATACTCCAAAAATAACGTTTTATACGATTATATAATGAGTGCTGTTCAATACAAATTTTGATTTTCCGTCTAAAGTTCAAAGTCTTGCAGACGATGAAATTTAGACTTAATTAATTCTTGGAATTGGGTCGTATTTACTTTCAGGTACATGTAAATGTGTTGGCCAAGTTGTTTTTATGTTATTTTGTGCGTCTCTAGCATTCAAACAAATTTACTCGTATGAATGTAAATTTTAAAAGATTGCATCAATTTTTTAAACTTTAATACATTTTTTATTCCTCCCTAAATGAAGATACAGGATATATAATTTTTGGTCTGTCCGTCAGTCTGTCTGTTGGTCTGTTTGTCTGTTTACCCGCAAAACATGAATCTTGTCCATAACTTTTGAATGGTTGGTGCTAGGGCTTTCATATTTCATATGTGTGTTCCTTGTTACAAGACCTTTCTTTAAGTACCAATATATTTTACCTCTTGACCTTGGAGTTTGACCTACATTTGATAAAGTCTAACCTTGGCCTTGAGCTCCCATACGGGGGCATGTCTTTTACAAACACGTCTTGATTTTTTTTTTAATTTAAAATGATTTTCTTGTCGCTCACATGTTGAAATGTTTTGTTTGTTATGGAATTCCATATTCGTCAGCCAACTGCTTATACCACCAACTGCTAATTGCCGCCGCCTGTATTGCAAGCTGCTGATTACCACTGCTTACTGCAAGCTGCTGATTACCACTGCTTATAATGCCAACTGCTGATTACCACCGCTTACTGTCAACTGCTGATTACCATTGCTTACTAACAACTGCTGATTACCACTGCTTACTGCCAACTGCTGATTACCACTGCTTACTGCCAACTGCTGATTGCCACCGCTTACTGCCAACTGCTGGTTACCACTGCTTACTGTCAACTGCTGATTACCACTCCTTCATGCCAACTGCTGAATACCACTGCTTACTGCCAACTGCTGATTGCCACCGCTTACTGCCAACTGCTGATTACCACTGCTTACTGTCAACTGCTGATTACCACTGCTTTCTTCCAACTGCTGATTGCCACTGCTTACTGCCAACTGCTGATTACCAATGCTTACTGTCAACTGCTGATTGCCACCGCTACTGTCAACTGCTGATTACCACTGCTTACTGCCAGCTGTTGATTACCACTGCTTACTGCCAGCTGCTGATCACCACTGCTTACTGCCAACGGCGGGTGGCAGTGGGCAGATAGGAATAAGCAGTTGGCTGTCGTTTATATACGGAATTTCATATACCAAAGCCAATTGCTTACTGCCAACTGCTGACTATAACTGTCTACGGTTAATACCGATTGACTTTTGTTTTATTTTTAATATTGTTCATGCTTGAATAAAAAAATATTAGCAATGAAAAAAAAACGTGGGCGGATATAGAATTGTTACATGAAAAAGGATAAGGAAGGAGTATTTCCTCTTAAAGGGGCCTGGACACAGATTTGAAGAAGTGCTGGGCGAATTTCAACCAAACTTAGATGGGAATTCGAAACTGCTATGAAAGTCTCATTAAATTTTATCCAGTGGTATTAGAGGATTGCGAATAGGAGATGGGTGTCCAAAAGAGTAATGGACGGACATCACTATACAATCCCGCTTGAAAAGGTGAAAAAGGTCTGATCAGGTATCGGCAAATAGTTAGTCTAGTACTCATTGGCAAATCATTATATTTGACATTGTAAATACACTCCCATTTGTCACCATCGTCATACAGACTAAACAAAACAAGAGTGGTGAGCACAGATAGTAAACCCGTCACATTCCCTCTCACATTGGCCTCTTTTGGTCTTTGAAGAACACTGATTGTACAAAGGTCTATATTTACAAGTCTATCTGACCATTGAAAACAATGAAAGTACTTTTTGAATCATACATTAAAAATTCATAAACAATTCTTCTATTCAATCGACCTATCAATGACATTATTTACATTGATTATTTATCATAGGTAAATAGCAAATTGAAATATGGAGCGGAGTGGATCAGAAACCCTTGACTTGGGAAGATGCTCTCAGTAGAGTACAAATTTTCTTAATAGATCAATAGAGCCATTTCCAGCTCCATGACACTTGAACCAGTGGTCCAAAAATTTTGCAGATCTGGTAAAAACACCCTTGCTCACTATAACTTGTACTCTGTTTGTCTCCTAGTCGAACAGAAGCAGAGAAGAAAATTTTCAAAGAATTAATGTATTTTACTCTATAATCAATATAGCCCTGCCCTAACATCAGAACCCCTGACCCAGGGGCAATGAATTTCACAATTTTGGAGAGGCACCCTTACTCATAATAACTGTGCACTTAGTTTGTCTTCTTATAAACGGGGGAGAAGTTTTTGAAAGAATGTATGCATTTTCACTATATGATCTATAGAGCCTGACCCTATCTCCTAACCTCATGACCCAGGCACCATAAAGAAGAAGGTACGGTTTTTAGCTTTATTGTGCCCTAAAAAATCAATGTTTTCAAAAAGTTTTGAAACTGGCTTAAATGTTAGTTGAGTATATGACTATGATAAATCTGAAAGGAATATGGTATGAAGGAGTACCATTCTGGAAATATGACGTCATTAATTTGATGCATTTCTCTATTTTAAACAGAAAAAGCCTCAAAATGGCCCATTTCTAGGGTTATTTTCCTTAAGAAAATAGTGTCCACAGCTGTCGCCCACTTTAATTTTCGGATATGCTGTGTAAAATCCTTTGAAAAATCATATATCTCAAAATCTTTGTGGGCGATGCCTGTGGACAATATTTTCTGAAAGAAAGTTCCATTGAAAATTGGTGTCTTCTGCAACTTTTTAAGAAAATACGGGAAAATGCACAGGTCTATGACGTCACAATTAGAATTTAGAAGGACATGTGAGAAAAATGGTTTGTATGATCTTTCTGCATGGAATTTCAATGGTTCAAAAAGCACAAGTTTTAATTTTTTATATCACTTTCATTTTTAAGAAAAACACAGGGCAAGATTTGTATTGAAACTGTACCTTGTTCTTTCAAAATACACTGTATTGTTAGAAGGTTCAATGCTTATTAAATTATGACAATAATTTAACTGCTTGATGTCCATGAGTAAAGAAGATTTTTAAATACTGCATTAATTTTGATGGTTTTAGCCCCACTCCTCAGGCCTCAGGGGTGCAAAGACAATGAAATTCAAAATTTTTGTTCTTTTTCACCCAGAGATGCAATATGTCAAAATTAGTTAAAATTGGTTCAGCAGTTCGAGAAGAAGCTGTAAATGATCAAATGTTAACTCACAATGCACGACAGACGACACACAATGACGGATGAAAACAGATAGCATATGTCACCTGAGTGACTCAGGTGACCTAAAAAGGCAAAAACAGTGTAAACAGTGTACAAATATCAAGCGATATCACATACTTGTTTATGACAGTACTGGCTTACAAGCAGTTCAATGACTTTTTTCCCACTGCTTTTAGTATGAAGACTATAGCTCAAAGATCCATTTCAATACAAGTTTTTGTTTCATAAAAACAGCATCTTTTGTGCAAATTTTCTTGTATCTGTATTTACGAGGGGTGATCAAAAAGTTCGAGAACTAATTGAATCACTTCCATCAAAGAAATAAAATTAGTTTTCAGTGTTCATTATTAGTTAAAGTAGTCATCTCCGATTTTAATGCACATCTTTCACCGTTCTGTCCATGCGCGAATCACGTGATCCAGGCGGTCACGTGACATGCTCCGTAGCGTTCTGTTCACAGAACAGAACAAACGTCATTTTTAATCATCTCCCTTTCTTCACTTAAACAATCAATCCAATTAATGATTAAACTTCTGGCAAGTCTTTTGTCTTCATTGACGTTGTACAAATTATTATATGCTACTGCAAAGGAATTTCCAAGATAAATGTTAAACTTTACAGCCATTTGTTGCTTGAGTACGACTGAGTCAGCCATTTTTTTGTCACAAGTCACGTACATATTGACGTCACTTTCACATTGTGACGTCACAAAACATTACATGACACCTGCTATTCATAGAACCTGTGTATGACTATATGTGTGCCAAATTTCATTCTGATCTGAATCGTTGTTTTGTAAATATAGAGATAGTTCACGAACTTTTTGATTTCACAAATTTATCTGGCCTGACCAAGATCTGGTAGTACTGTATCTGAAAATGTGCCACAAGCCAGTATCCATATTTTCAACAACAACAAAAAATTTTTAAAAAATTATATTAAAATTATCTTTTATTAAAAGTACAAAGAGATGACATACAGTCATTCAAAGCAGTACATGGAAACAAACTCTCAAATAACCATATTGTATCAAAATATAAAATTCTATCTTGTGTTTTGAAACATAACAAGTGCCCCTTCAGTAGCACAAGACTAGTGACTGACAACAGTTTTAGTGTATTAATAAACATGAGATTTATTTAACGTTAAATAAACACATTCTTTTATAATAAAAATGTTAACAAAAATATATGTGTAGATATATATATATATGCTAGTATTTAATATTATATAATTTTCTATCTATATCAATGGAGCTAAAAAAAAAAAAATACAGAATCATGGTGCTTTTACAATCATACTTTTGTAAAATAAATGGAATATGACAACAAATGAGAAATAGAAAATTTGATTGAAATACTGTATGTTCACTTCTTTCCGCAAAATTCACTTATTAAAACCTTGATGTAGTTGCTTTGTTCTTATTCATGCACACCATTTAAATATAAATCTCTACAAATAAAATACATGTAACCACCATAAGCACTAATTCCTGACTGTCTAATCTAGTACGACCTACATATTCATTTGTCCAAATTTTGAATGTCTTGAAGGGACAAATACAATTACTGTATCAAGACAATATGTACCATCAAATGTTAGTGCATAAGTAAAATGCATTTCAATTTTTTTTTTAATGTTTGTGATTTTATCCCTCTATTCAATCAAATTTAATACATACCCAAGATATCCGTAAGTTACTGTAAATGTATTATACATGTATTTAGCATGTAAAATATTTGGCGTAAATTGATATTTCAATGAGTTGGCAAAGATTTGATTTAGCCCATTAGTGAATGTGCTAGACACATAAATACATGTATACAAGATATTTAGCAATGTACTTGATTTACCAAAGGCGCTTAAATGAATACAAAGCCAAATGTAATATGTTTACAGTATGTGAAAAAAAAGATGTTTTATCACTGGTCCCACAAGAAGTATAAATGACTAAAACTACTCTCTAAAACTGTGTCATGATTCCAATTAAAAAATCATATGATAGGTAAGGTCCAGAAAATGGCCATCAGTCACACAAAATGCTTCCTAAACACAGACAACTGAAACCTGCTTACTGTAATTATTTTTTCCTAGAATGACACCGACCTTCATGATTTTCCAGAGGTTGAGATAATTACAACATAGAAACAATTAAGTACCGTAAATCAGTCTTTTTTTCTAGGAAAGATAACATGGAATGGAAAATTCACCAGAGAAAATTTTTGTGTTTATATGTTTGACAAAATCACATAGGAAAACAGCGACAACAAATGATTGAATAACCTAGAACACATCATAAAGGTGAGCAAAAGAAATCGACGGCAAATCATGTTAATAGCACCTTTATAACTGAAATCAGCACTTGGATCATTCTATAAGTAGGAGGATTCGCTCTCTCCAGCGCAACAGTACAACAATTCTAAACATTGTACCTAGTACATTACACTGTCCCAACATTAGATTCAACATACAATATAAAAAGAGACAATTTTTTCAAACAAAATTTTTATCAATGTTTCTCATCTTTCCTCCTATAAGTTTACTTTACTATATAACTCATTCAATTATGCATATTTCTTTTTTAAAGTTGACGGTATGTAAAAAAAATAATAATAAGTGCTGAAAAGGGTACAAATAATATATGAAATAACAGAATTTTATTATGCAAGGAACAGATTTCTATCAGAGCCATTGCTCAAAACATTTTCCAGCAAACAAAAGATTTAACAATTATATAGACTTTTCTTGACTTTCATAACCTACGCAAGAGTTTCCAATTTGTACCATGCCGCAAAGAAGAATAAATAAATGGTATATTCTCAATTTTACTTACAGATTTTTCATGTGCTGACAGTAACTGCAATCTCTAAAATTTTGTCAGACAACTACATATTTCAAAGAGTGTATGGGATTACTTGACAAGGGACATAATTCTGTAAGTCATTGTAAGACATGGAATGTTCACAAAATGGAATGGAGAGAACATGAAAAATAAAGCTACCATAAACTTTTATATAATAAATGCACCTCAAAATAACAATCAACAATGATCATTAGTTTTAACAATACACTAAAATGTGTATAAATCAATTGAGGCATAATTCTCATTTGTATTTTGGAATTGGTCAAAACTGGTTCAAGCTTTGAGTTTTCATGCTGGTACTAAAAAAAATCTTGCACTTTTTTTACAACTAAAAAAAAAATTGGTATTTAAAGAACTTACTTCAGAAGATGATACCATTATAAAACAACAAAGCAATATTTCTTCCATTACTTTCCCAATTGTTTGTATATATATGTTAAACAAATGAATACAATAATTTTCATGCTCATGAGTGGCAAGAATATCAGTGCTCCTGTGAAAAATGATTTATGCTTTAGTTAAAGATTGGGAAAAAGACATACTGAAGTCAAATATAAGCAAAAAAAAAGAATATCTAAAAATTTCATTTCTTAAGTTTATAAATGGTACAAAGAATTCAAAAATAAAATTCTGTAAAGCTATGAATTTCAGTGTCATGCAGTCAGATCAACTGACTAAAAATAGCATGATTTACCCAATCACTGGTGAAGATGACAAAAAAAAGTTCAAAGGTCACATGTACACAACTAGTTTTTCCTTGACTTGTTCCTCTTTGCCATCAGCTCACTCACGCACGCGTATTCCTGGTCCATCTGAAAATGTCTATATAAATCCTTGAAATCTGGTCGTTTAGCTGGATCTTTGTTCCAGCATTCTCTCATCTTCTTGTAGCAAGTTTCAGGACAGTCATCAGGCTTGCTGAGTCTCTCCCCTGACTCGATGAACTGCATAACCTGTTAAAAAAAAAAATGACAGGTCAAGGCTACATTGTAACAAATTTCAAACTTGCATTTTTGTTTTCGTTTGACTACTTTACTTACTTACTGAATTTCCTAAAAGAGATCATTTCACTTACTTATGAATTCAATATGATAAGGTTTTTTTTTTTTTTGATAAATTGACTTATAAGAATTATTCTTTGATAGTTATGTGGGCAGATTTATATATATGAAATATATTTATTACATTTTCTTGTTTTGAATAAATGTTTCTATTCCAAATAAATTAACTATGTCATTGAGAATAAAAGTTAAGCTAGTTTGTGTGCGCAGGTGGATTGAGTTGGTGAACACTTTCTTTGCTTTACTATTGGCTATGACTTCTCATTGGCTATTGTCATAATGAAATATCAAATCAGATCGTTTCTTCTGTGATAAAAGCGAGCCAAATCTAAAATTCAAATTACTGCAGATCCGGCGATTCCTGACTGTAGACTTTACCACCTCGCACAAGGTATTTTATTCAATGTTGATTGTCAATAACTTTGGTTTACAATTTTTCTTAGTAAATAAACGACTAAGATTATGAGCAATAAAGTTTAATATGTATTTACTTATCATATGTAATGCATTACTATGTATAAATTGTATATATTTACTTAAATATTTTTTTGTAGAATCACCTTGTTGATATGTGAATAAATATAGAAACCATCATCATTTCCATCTTTATATCACTCGGTCACAGTTATATACAGACATTTTTATTCAGCACATGTTTACATTCCTTCTTCGATGGTCTCCATTTTGGAAATGGAAGTAGACTGAATGCATGACTAAATTCCATAAATAATTTTTTTTTTTTGGATAGGTGGTAAATGAATCATAAACAAAAATATTACAGTGTTTTATCTTTATTTGTTTCTTTAATATGGTTACATATTTTATACTGATTGTGACAATTTTCTGGTCAATGAGTACTAAAACTGTAAACGCGCGTTGTCTCTGCTTGATTGATTTCAGCCAAATCCCAATCAGTACTTAGGACTTACATTCAATCAACAATATATACATGTACCACTATCCAATTAAAGGTCAAAAACCAGATATAGATAACATAATGATATTAAAGTAGAAAAATTTACATATTTTCCTTACCTCTACACCTTTTTTGTCTCCATAGGGCTGATCTCCATAAGAAAACATTTCCCACAATGTGATACCAAAACTCCAGACATCTGTTTTGTGGTTGAATTTTCCATAGTTAACACATTCTGGTGCATACCTGTAAAGGAAGTCACAAAAGAAATGAAACCAGCTTGAAACAATTTCAGATATTGTATGAAAATAAAGTTCTCAGTTTCAGGTATCAAACAAAATCCTACCATTTGATTGGCCAGCGTCCTCCTTTAGACGCCTGATAGTAGTTCTTCTCCTCAGCAAAGGCCCTCGACAACCCAAAGTCACTGATCTTCACCTTATGTCAATAAAAATACACTGATGTCAGTACAGATGACTTTAATACCTTTTTAGTTCTCACATTTTGTAGAAACTTTATGAATCTACATTAGAGTTAACTGTACATAAATTCTCTATTGTTTCTTTTCCTCGGTTACGCCTTAATTTCATTTACTGTATTGTACCAATTTATCTATTCAAGTGAAAAAAATTTAAAGTCTTTTAAATAATTAAATATTTTCATCACCTGTTCCAAATTTTGGACAAGGATGTTTCTTGCAGCTAGATCCCTGTGGACTATCTTCATTGTTTCCAGATAACACATGCCATTGGCAACCTGTGAAGCCCATAGGTACATGGTGGGGTTAGCCTCAATCTGATTCCTGTGGTCAATCAGGTAATCTAGTAGGGAACCTTTGGAAATGTATTCTTCCACCTGAAAATTTTCAAACTTACAGTCAAGCACTCTACACATGTACGTGTGCCATAATTATGAAAGTGGATATAGTATCAGTGACTGAACTTCGTATGAGTTTACTCATTTAATATGCAATGTAAAAATCTCTTTTAAATTTCAGAATGATGCAGAGTAGACATCTCATCATGAAAAAGGCCATATTTGATTTTATTAATGATCAGGAATTTGGATGCTCTTTGATTGGTCCAGACTCCCTTTCCTGAGGTAAACCTCAGAGTAAGTTCACCTGAAAATGAAGTTCTGAGAGGTTTTATTCCAGTCTTCCCTCTTGACCAACCATAGATTTGATGAAATTTTATTAATGAATCAAACTGTGCATTTAAAGCATGTGTCATAAACACATATAATGCAGACAACAGTATCAAGAGTCTAAACTCTGGTTGAGTATTTGTTTCATAATTATTATAATACTTGTTGGAGACAATATCTAAAGTGTGAAAAATGTAAAATTCCTGATTTTTAATAAAATGGTTATTGGCTTTTGGTGAGGTCTACTCGGGACTATATGGACCTGCTCAGGTACTGGTTAACCTCAGCCTTCAGCCTCGGTCAACCAATACCTGACTATAGTCCAAAGTAGACCTCATCAAGTCAATAATTGTATAATATAAACCTGTACTGTGAAAAACTATGGATATTCATATATCATGCATCGCATAAGATAAAACTTATGTGAGTCTGTTTTTTGTTCCATGAATCTAGTTATACATTTAAATATTTTAATTTTCACAAACTTAGCCATAAAAAATTCTTAAAATCATTTGCTAAGAACAATGATGCTTTCCTTATGTGTTGAAAAAATTAAAAGAGCAATTGTAAAAGTTTACAATTCAAAAATTTAGAAAATTCTATCTTCAAGGATCAGTTTATCTATGTATGATTCATTCACATGATGTATCATATTGGATTATAAATGCAGAGTACATGTGATTTTGTATGTCATATGAAGTGGTAGATAAAGAGACTGCTTTTCAAATGGAATTATCATTTAGTTGTCGAGGTAACCATTCCCAACAACATATTCAAGAGTCAATCTTAATGTGTAGACTGCCATTGAATTTGTCATCAACTTTGGAAAACACTCATTGATTGGTTGAACAACTTCATTGGTGATCCAATCATATCTCATGAAAATATTCCAAACTTTGATAGTAAACCAGGCTAAAAGGTTTATAAGGAGAGACATATACATGTAATCAGGAAATGTGAGCTATCACAACTAAGCACACTCTTTATAATGCCAGACTTCCCTATAGAGTTACATAAATGCTCTCACCAGCATGAAGGGCTTTTCACAAATGCCATACAGTTTGACAATACACTCATGGTCCAACCTCTGCATGAGTCTTGCTTCCTCCATAATGCTCGCCAAAGCACCTGTCATGGACTCATCGTGGAAAGTCTTTAAAGCTACCTCAATCTGAAACAAACACAAAAGAATGAGAGAATTATATATTACCTGTGACAGAATATGAGGTTCATTCATCGTCCAGCCCAACTTACTTGCATACTCCTAAATTTGGCCTTTCTCTGGGTATAGATTCCTTTTTTAACAGCTCCAAACTCTCCCTGACCAAGCTCACTTCCTACAAAAGATATCTTTTAACTAAAATGTCCTTTTCCAGCATTTTTTCTTTTTACTCTGAAGTTAAATGGTGTGTCTAAGTCAATCTAATTAAAATTAGATCCTTTAGGCTCCCGTATTTTGTTATGTCGCTACAGCGAAAAGCATAAAGGATCTAATTTTAATTAGATTGTGACAAAGTTGGCTTTTATTATTCTAGTATTTTTTTTTTACACTTTCTAGCAAATTTTCATTTCAGTAAGAACACTCTGGCGATAAAAACTTTGGAACTGAAATAATACAAAATCATACTAACATTACCTGGTACTTAACAAGGCTGAGTCTAATTCAAGTGCACATGACTTTGCACAGCTTTTTAGTTTTATGCAGGCATAGATGCAACATAACACTTTTCCTAAGTATTGTAATTTTAATACAAAATTAACATTATATTACATTATCTGTAACGTTAATGGGTCTTAAAATGTGCTTTTAAGACAATAATTAGGAATAAACGCTGAAATGGCTTTCATGACATCACTGTTTTCCTGTTCTGTAAGCAATATAATGCATGACACTGAAGAATGACACATGACTCGCTTGAGTATTCAAGACGTCCATGGACATTTGATTAAAAACTGTTGACAGAACATCAAAAGAAACATACCAGCAATCTAAACATTGTTATTTTTTACCAAAAAAATTCATTTGCGCCAATATATACAAAATATATACCACAATATGGCAAATTTAGAGGCATTGGGCATTGGGGAAAAAAAACTTTGTAATAATTCCTAGACCAACCCAGATGGTCAACTTTTCGAAATTTCACAATTTGGTGACTTTTTACAATAACTTTCATTTATTTGACTGAAAAGGAAATCCCTATGGCAGAAATACAAAAAATATTGGAAAAATGTGATAAGGGTCCAATAGTTAAATTTGACAACTTTCGAGATGGCCCCCTAGAAAATCGGGATGGTAAACATTCGATTATTTTGTGTTAAAATAATTAATATAATAGTAAAAATTCATTCAAGAAAATTTATCAAAATATCTGGGTAGAAATAATTAGACTCGGCCTCGTTAAGTACATTTACATTTAGAGCACACATATGAGGGTTGTTAGAAAAGTTTGTGGACACATTGATTTTCGGAAAATATATTGTGTACTTTGAAGAATGGTGTTTGTCTAATTAAATTCTAATCTTTTGTTTATCAGTATGTAAAAATCAGGTCCATTTCCTAAAATTTTGAAAATATACAATGATATTTACTGTGCGGTCATAGGATTCACGGAGCAATCACTTCACGTTGTTTGACGTCATGTGACGAGACAACCTGATTCCAGACCTGTTAAGCTTTTTCACAGTTGTAAATATCTTTTATTTCTATAGACTTTTCATGTCTTTTTCTTACTTAAAAATTGAATAACTACATCAAGGCATGTTATATTTTTCTCTAAAATGTCTTTTGTGGCGTATCGGATATAAGTGAGATATTACAAACAATGTCTACGCAGTTTAACGATCAGAAAGCAACGTCCATGTGATAAGATGGATATTGGGGTATCGCAGGAGTTGATAATCAAAAATGTCATCCTTCCATTCTTACAAAGTTGCTACCCCTTAAACATTTTGGTACTGGATACATGTAGGCAATCCCCAGCAGCATCTAAAAACATTGTAGTCTCTTTCGGGCATTTTCCTGTCTGCACACATACCGTAATTTTTTAATAGCTCGGTGCTTCAAGATGTTCAATGACGTTACGATTCTTGGCTTTGTTTTTAAGCATTGATCATCTATAATTAGCTATAAAACAGTCATATTTCCTCCAGTTTAATTCAAAATTTCACCAAATGATGTTTCATGAATATTTTAGTGACAGGTGAATTATAAAATTTTATGCGCTGCAACTTAATTTTAAAAAAAAGGTCTCTGTAATGTAAAGTTGGGAAAAAGTAACATGCTTCATGAAGCACATTTTATCTAAATAATTTAGCGGTTTATTTTTTAAAGATCATCGGAAAACACCAAATCTTTGCATATTAATTGAAAAATACGTAAAGTTTTTAACTGCAGAGTTTCACTGATTTCATGCAAATAGCGCACTCACATTAGAACTTGTCCGCGAACTTTTCTAACAACCCTCATAGATCTTTTCACTAATCTATTACAAGGACCTTACCAACTTTAATGTCTTTTTTATCAATCTTTTTGAATTCATCTAGACTACTCTGTCTTTCACCCATGCCCCCTTTTATACTGGCCGTCGATGGCTTAGCTGGTGGCTGAAAATGACATTTTCAATGACAGTTTTTAATTTTTGAAAGATTTTTCAATTACCTCCCTTACTACACAAAAAAATGAAGATTGCTACTTTTTGAGCTTTTTCCCTTTATACACAAAGAAATGAAGCTTTGTATTTATAATTATCTGGAATGTTTGATTGTAATTAAGAGTTTCTTTTATTTTCATTATTCAGCTTATTAATCAAAAAAAAAATCTTGAGCACAGAACAAATGATTTGCAGCGCTGCTCTTTAACAGAATGTTGTGATAAAAGTAAATTATACTTACATGACTGGGAGGGAGAGGGGGTGGTTCATTGGAGGGGTCTGCATAGTACTCCTCCTGTTGTTTATTACTGGGGTGATTGGGGTGGGCCGGGAGAACTGGACGGGGGTTAGGAACAGGTGGAGCTAAATACAACAAACATACCTTAATATATACTCATGTTTGAGTTGCAATTATATTATTTTTATATTTTAGATATTAACTTTAAATAATAATTGTACTGAAAATTATTTCTAGGATTTTTCTGATATAAACAGTACATCAAAAAACTTGAAGTGAATATTTCACTGCATAATTATCTCCCATAAATAACTGATATTCTTTATCGATAAAACTGTGAGTGAGAGTTTCTCAAGGAAATAAATTTTTAAAAAAATCTTTGGATTTATAACACTGCTTTTCATGCACTTGTAACGTACCAGTGCCTGGTGAGGAAATCCTTCTTGAAACATTATTAACATCATGTACATTGTAATATTCTTCGTCTACCTCTATTCTACGATCATCTACAAAGTACACAAAGACAATAAATTTTCATTCAGAAAATATGCAAAACTTAAGTGGGTTTTCCCCTCATTAATTACAATAACATGTAGATCTGAAGAAGACAAAGTCCTAAAAAAAACTGTAATTCTGAGATACGTTAGAGTTTTTTACCAGTGCTAATGGAAGCCCGGAGTTTTGTAGAGAGACCATCACAATAACGACTATAGTGTTCAATCAACTGCTGCAGACTCTCAAAATATGGACCATCATCAATGTAGTGTACCAACTGGTTCTCATAATCCTGTCAAAAATTGTATTCCTTAAAATTCCAGATTGTAAAATTGTAGATATTCATCATATGAGAAACAAAGGATAAACTCATAAATCCTCTCTCTCTCTCTCAATTTTTTTTTTTTTTTTTTTTTTTTTGATATAGCAATCATTTTATCAAATTAAAAACTATCAAGAAAAAAAATATCAAGTGCTTTAAAATCAGCTTTAAAAAAGTAATACTGAAATAAGTTTTAAATACACTTACTTTCACTTTAATTTCAAAATTAAATATGCTCTTTTTGTGACAGAGTGAGATGACATTGTAGTTTTCATTCCTTGTGCTCTTCCTCACCAGAAATAATCCCTCTTCTTTACGATATTCTTCCAACATTTGTGTGGCTAACTGTAAAAAATGTGGGCCAACAGATTTGTACAGGTATGTCTTAATAACAATGACCTTTTACAGCCATCAACTCTTGCTTACAATGATAGAAATTACCTCATAACCCCATCCTCAATGAAAATGACAAATACAGAAAACTTAGAATATTTTTATGTCTTGCTATCTGCTAAATCAACATATAGGAACCATGGTTTCAATAGAGTACCTTTCTGTCCAGATCCGAGTGGTACCAATATTCCTTTTTCGTCCTCACTTCTCTTCTATCAGGAAACCCTACAGAAAAAAAAATTATAAAATTTCAGAATTTTTTTTCTCTGCATACTTTGTTCAGGAATTGTATATTCAGAGAGAACAATATTTGAATTTGCACATCGGAGGATATTATCGGTACTATCTAGTAATTAAGAAGTAAATTCACTTACTCAGGAGAGGAATACAGTCCTGTCGGTTGTATCTCAGTGCCAAGTCCAGCGGTGTCTGTCCATCGTCTGCCCGAGGCATCATGGGAGCATGAAACTGAAGAAGCTTCTGTAAAAGAAAACAGAATCATAATCACAAAAAGATGTCTGTCAAAAGAATTGTTCTAATAAGCAAATTTGTTCATCTGCATTGAAGCATTAGATTTAGGAACCAAAAAACTCCCAACAAATCGTATCTAAAGCCTTTTATATACGGTAATTATACTTTACATCACATGTACATAGGTTATTTTACACATACTATAACACAATATACTTTTCCCCTTAAGCTTCACCCTCTATCTGTTTACTCACGTAAAATTTTGCTTTAATGACAGTGTTTTTTCTAAAAGATATCCTAATTAAGAATATCATGCAAACAGTTTCAGCATACCTTGTTGGGCAAAATTTGACAGAAATGATCTTCTAACTTGACAACAAAACTTTATATAGGAATAATAGGCACTTGTCCCAGTGAAAGTTATCTCTCTTATTAGAAGGTCAATGACCCTTGATCAATTTCTTACTCTAATGCACTCGGCATTGCCTTTCATGGCTGCTTCATGCAGAGCCACCCAGCCAGTTTTCGGAGATCGTATTTGAGGATCTGCTTTTCCATGCTTTATAAGCACGGCAACAACATCGGGATAGTTTGCTGAGCAAGCTCTCTGTCAAAACAAACATGATTGTTTAATTCAATGCTGCCAAAATAACTCATTTTACACAGCAACTGATTTATAAATCCTTGAAAGACCATGGATACATCTTAGATCTTGATACATATGAATGAGGTAGATAAGAAGATTCTTTATATTGATGGTATCAAAGAATATTAGAAGTAGTGTATTACATGTAAAGTTGTGAAATGTAGACTATTTTAAAATTCTATTTTACTGAAGATATCTAAGAATATTAGAAGTCTTACATGTAAAGGTGTGAAACCAGCCCTATCTTTGGCGTGAACATCAGCTCCTTTGTCAATTAATTTCTTGGCGATAGAAACTCTGCCATACTTAGCAGCATCATGCAAAGCTGTGGTACCTAAAGGTGGCAATAAAAACATTACAAAAGCAGTAGTGGAATGCACAGTGTTTCATGACACTTGTTTGGTTTTTAGAATAAAATTTAGCATCCTTTTTTTCTGTAAAATCTATTTGATTAGTGGTAACCTCAGTTATCAGACTTGAGGTCTTGGCAATTAAAACAGAGTTGTATATTTATGTATTTATATAAATACTGTGCAATGAGTGATATTTGAAAACATTTCAAATATTATGCAAAACTTCATGGAGATTGATTTCAAAAATTATACCTATATATATATAAGCACTACAATTTACTCTTGAGCTTCAAAAGTAAAAAACATTTATCCTGAAACCTGATTGCTATATGTAGAATGTATGACTTTATAGCTTCCATAATTTAGCCCTCTCTATTTTTAGCTATACTGGTCAGAGACCAGAAGAGCTTATGCGATAGTAAGGTGTCCGTCGTCCGTCCGTCTGTCTGTCTGTCTGTCTGTCCATCTGTAAACAATTTTTCAAAACGCTACTCCTCCTACAGTTTTTGTCTGATTTCAATATAACTTGGCACACAAGTAGACTACACTAAGATACATAATTCTGTGTATCGGTTTTTGATTTCGATGAACGGTGTTGCCATGGTTACTAAAAATAGAGATTTCTGAGAAATACTTTCAAAACGCTACTTTTCCTACAGTTTTGATCTGATTTCAATATAACTTGGCACACAAGTAGACTACACTAAGATACATAATTCTGTGTATCGGTTTTTGATTTTGATGAACGGTGTTGCCATCATTACTAAAAATAGAGATTTCTGAGAAATACTTTCAAAACGCTACTTTTACTACAGTTTTGATCTGATTTCAATATAACTTGGCACACAAGTAGACTACACTAAGATACATAATTCTGTGTATCGGTTTTTGATTTCGATGAACAGTGTTGCCATGGTTACTCAAAATAGAGATTTCTTGGAAGTACTTTCAAAACGCTACTCCTCCTACAGTTTTGATCTGATTTCAGTATAACTTAGCACACAAGTAGACCACACAAAGATACATAATTCTGTGTATCGGTTTTTGATTTCAATGAATGGTGTTGCCATGGTTACCAAAAAATATAAATTTCCTTGAAATACTTTCAAAACGCTACTCTTCCTACAGTTTTTGTCTGATTTCAATATAACTTGGCACACAAGTAGACTACACTAAGATACATAATTCTGTGTATCAGTTTTTGATTTCAATGAATGGTGCTGCCATGGTTACTAAAAATAGAGATTTCTGAGAAATACTTTCAAAACGCTACTTTTCCTACAGTTTTGATCTGATTTCAATATAACTTGGCACACAAGTAGACTACACTAAGATACAAAATTGTCTATATTGTTTTTTTTATTTCGTTGAATGATGTTGCCATGGTTACTAAAATAGAAATTTCTGTAAAATTCTTTTAAAAGGCTACTTCTCCTACAGTTTTAATCTGATAGCAATAAATCTTAATGATACAAAAATCTCAATAAAACAAAAAGAGACTTCACCAAGGATCATTATTCTATGTATTGCTGTTACAAAGTTTAAAGTCCAAGTGCTACTTTTATCTTCCATTTTTATAAGTACAAACAGTAGAGCTACAGTCTCGTCAGAGACTTCTGGTTTATCTGAGGTTCTCCAAAAAAAATTATACGGAGCTATATCATTGCAACTACAGTAAAACATGCTTATAGCGAACATGCTTATAACGGATTTACACTTACAGAGAAGTGATTTTCATTCCCATGCCTATAAAATATATTGTGAACTCAACGGATATAATGAATTATGTTTATAATGAAGTTGTAGGTCCTTGGCACTTCGTTACAAGCATGTTTTACTGTACTGGGTATATGTTGGTTTTGTACCATGAATTGTATATACTTATATTACACATGTAGATTACATTTAAATTTAAGCCAATTTTAAATTTAGTTTTATGCCAAGATAACATTCTGAGCATTGTTCATGTTGTTTATAATTTTCAATAAATCTTGCTTTCTTTTACATTTTATAATCAAGCTTACCTAAATCATTTTTGGCATTTATTGAGGGACAAAGTCTATGTTGTAATATACTGGTAACTGTCTCTTCATTTCCTAAAACAGCAACAAAAAGAAGAATTTATACTGAGTGGGTGAAAACAAAAATATATTCACTGCATAGGAAGCTGACAAAATATTACAAAAAGTACTTGCTGTTAATCTGTTGTGGAGATGTATGGGATTCAGCACCAGGAAATTAATTAAATGTTACAATTCAGAGACTAGGAGAGAGGGGGAAGGCATGTATGTACATGTAATTGCTTATGTCAGAGAAGTCCTATATATTGCTTTAAAGACAATTTTATATTACTAACTGTATATATACTTCTGTGCCAGAAGTGACATTTAGAATAAAACTCAAAATAACAATTTGGTTTCAAAGGAATTTTTAAAACTAACGTACAGAACATGCTGATGAAAATTCTTCTTAATAAGTTCTTTAATTCATGTAGTGTTTAGATTTGTTCTCATGATTGGCAATTTCATTATTGTTTATACATGTAAAATCATATGATGATTTTTAAAACATAAATTGTAATGAATGAATGAAATGCAAATTATTCTTTCAATTAACAGTCCATATATGTTTATATACTTTCACTTTTTCAAGGAAATCAACAAAAGAATTTCCTGTCATTTTACACTTCCTAATAAATCAATTGAAAAGTTGTTAACATTAAGCCAATGCAACTATAATGATGTGTGATAGTTGTAGTGTGGATATTGAATTTCATTCTGTGCTTGATAATGGACAAGTATATTATAATTATCGAAGCATCAAATAATTAAGGGACTGTCAATACATGCACTTTAATTATTGCAATGTACGTATTATAATGTAAAAGTACAAAGAGGACACTATTCCAGATTACTTCCTAAGCTGATTCATGATTCTAGGGGTTGTTTGTTTTTATAAAATTAAGTGACAAAATTTTTGGAATTGTTTCTGTTAATAAATAATTGTACCTTCCATGACTGCCCTGTGCAGTAAATTGGTGGGACCATTTAGTCGGGCCCTATCTGGGGGTGGCGAGCCTTTACAATGTCTGGTAAGTTTTGTTATCAGCCCATTGGCTCCATTCTCATAGTAGGCAACAAGTTTCTCCAACCCTAGAAATAAAATGGTAAACCTCAGCAGATCCTTCTTGAAACAATAAATCTAACAAAAGAAAGCAAGGTTTATTTCTTTTAATTACATGCAGCTAACATTCAATCATTCATTTTGCACCAAGTTAACAGAGTTCAGTCAAAATTTTTGCCTTTTAGTGTTCAGTGTTGTAAAATTAGGGAGGTAATTTAATAAGTGATAGCTATATTCTGGGACTGGATAAAATAGTTTTAAACATTTATATTCATAGACGAAGTCCATAGTTGGAATATAGATATCATTTTCAAACATTTCCCCTTTAATCATGCTACAATTACAATATCCTGGTATCTGATTCATTACATATAATGTAAGGATGATATTGATACAAAAAAAATATCATGATATATCACTATTTTTTACTTTTGTATCATGATACTTATAATGTATCACTTTTCATTCTTGTTCTATAAGACCTTAAAAATACAACTTTTCAATGCTTATCAGTGTAGTATGGTTTGGAATGAATGTTTCCTTCAATCAACAATTAGAAGCTGGTTTTACTTTATAAAATTAGAATTTAGAAGAATTGATCATAAAAAGTCTTTAAATTTCTCATATATCTTTTGAAACACTTAAATGATGGGAATTTTAATTTTTAAACCCTATCGAAATAAAACGTATTTCAGACTTTTGTACCAATAACTGACTTCAAGCAAAATGTCATGATACATCCGTAAACATACTGTTACAGCACTAACCATGCTAACATATATTAGTCTAAGAGTTCTAGCTTCTTTTAAAATATCATGCTCAGAGTCTGCCCATAAAAATACTGTATGTGCTGGTACACATTAAGTCATCAAATTTGATATCATGCCTGTTAATTCTGATAAAAAACTCCAAGTCTCTTTAAATCACATGAGTCTAAGTTTTTATTGTAAAAAAAAAAAATACCAGAAAAAATAGTTAAAAGTGAATATTTTTTCTAGTATTTTTATTTTTTTACAATAAAAACCTCAGACTGACCTGTGCTTTAAATAAATTCACTTCTTTCATCTAATCTGACAAATTTCTACGGAACCAATGGTGTCCAGATCACACAAGTTTTATTGTACTTGCCTTGGGTAGTTGGGCCTTCATCCAACTTGTAATGCCCATCAAACACCTCTTTGATTTGGAAATGGAAAACTTTAGCATCGTGAGTCACAGACACAACAAAATCTTTTTCGGAGCTGGTGCTGTCACGTATTAGGTACAGGCCATTACTATCTGTGGTTGACCCCTGTAAGCTGGCCAATCCTATAACATCAAAGGTCACATTAAAAATTACCAGTATTAAATTGTACCAGGTAATGCAATTCAGTATACAAAATGCAAAAGACAAAAATCTCTTAACAACTGAGATCAAAGATCATTCTTTTCCATCTGAACTGTCCTTGTTTATGCTTCTGAGTGTTCTTTTGTCCTTGACCATAACCTTTGAACTGGTGAGTATTATAAGTCTGTTGGAGTTTGGTCAAAGTTCAATCAAAGGCCAAGGTTAACAAATTTCACTGTAGAAATTTTTGGAACCAGAAATCAATTGTTTATGTTGCTATATATTCATATAAACCGGGTACATGAATAAGTTTTAGATCAACCTCTCAGTCATGACCTTTTATTCAGAAAAATTAATACACTCTGTTTCTAATGATAGAGGAAATTTTTGCAATCAATGCATGAGAGGGGAGGTCAAAGAAACTATGTACATGATCCAGGAGTGCTTAAATGTTTGAAGTTGATCTGAGAGTAAAAAATCAAACAAGTGATTTTACTACAATCTCTTACCATGTTTACAGAGCATGTATAGATTTTTATTAGGCAACAGTTTACATGTGATTTAATGGATTAAATTTATCATTCTGAATTAATCCATACATCACATCTATTTCCTATATAAGACTTTGAAACTTATCTTCAAAGTAAAATCACATGATTGAAACACATGTTCTGCTGTTAAATAATAATTTATAGCTGTCTAAATAAATAACCCTTGTCAAAGATAAATACACACAAAGCCTACAGCTCAGTGATAGCATGATTACTATGCTCTTGAGGAAATTTTTCATAATTTATAATCTATAATTTTGTCATATCTGAATACAGTGTGCTATAAATTTTATGTCAGCACAATAATTCAGCAATTGAGGAAATTTTTTTTTTCTGTTTTAAGCTATATTTAAAATTTGTCGTAGATAATTAAACTCGATAAGAAAATCATGACTTCCTGTTTCTAAAAACAGAAGAAAATGTACCACAGAATGCTAGTGTTTATTTATAATACACTGGATTTTTATGGCACTGAATCTAGGTCAAAACAAATAAGGATGTATATATATATATATATATATATATATATATATATATATATATATATATATATATATATATATATATATATATATATATATATATATATATATTTATATTTCATGTACGAAGTTCACAGACATAAAAAAAATTATGTAGATTTACTTTGTTTGTATCACAATGTAATGAGTCATGAGAATATATACAGACATGAAATACTTTTCCGTTACATTTATATCAAAACCTTTTTTTAAAAATGCTTATTTCGAAGGACTATTTTCTGAAACCAAAAATGATATACCGGTAATCATTTTAAATTAATCAAATATAAACAAATGTTAAAGATATTGTTTATTAAAAACTTAATTCCTCTTACTGTGTCTAGATTGCATTAACTACTTCAATTAAAACTCAACATTGATATATAATATTTCTATACTAATATGGTCCACTACAATGCAAAGTTATGCAGTGAATGATTTTTTTTCCTCAGCTTATAATGCTTATTAAATCATGTAGATGATGGGTGACTACGAGTATACAGCACATAAAAATTAGCATGATTAGTATGATCAATACATTGGAATTACCGTAAAGCAAGTTACTGCAAGCTGTTGAAAGAAATCCAGTTCCAAAATCATTTAATATTGAACAAAAATGCATAAAAATGAACAAACACTTTTTACAGAAATAGACAGCAGAGAGATCAAATATTGTATGCTTAATTAATATATTCTTTTCATTATTTCATGAACTTCTAGCAAATAATTAAACAAGAGGCCCAGGGGCCACATCCCTCACCTGAGCACTGTGGCTAGGAAAAAAGGAAAAATCAGTTTAGTATTGAAAAGCTTAAATGCATAAGTGGTCCCAACCTACCCCTTAAAGGGGAGTGGGGGGTATGATTTGAAAAAATTAAATCTACACTAACTAAAGATGCTTACATAATTTTTTGACTGTGACTTTTTTCTCTACAAGTTTGAACTTTCATTGTGGCCCCACCCTACCCCTGGAGGTCATGATTTGAACAAACTTGAATCTACACTATCTGCGGATGCTTCCACATAAATATGACCAATCATAGCTTTGCTGTTCTTGAGAAGAAAGATTTTTGAAGGTTTTTCCTATATACACCTATGTTAAACTTTGATCGTCCATTGTGGCCCCACCCTACCCCTGGGGGTCATGATTTGAACAAACTTGAATCCACACCACCTGCGGATGCTTCCATATAAATATGATCAATCATTGCTTTGCTGTTCTTGAGAAGAAGATTTTTGAAGATTTTTCCTATATATTCCTATGTAAAACTTTGATCGTCCATTGTGGCCCCACCCTACCCCCAGGGGTCATGATTTGAACAAATTTGAATCTACACTACCTGACAATAATTCCACATGAGTTTCATCTTTCCGGGCCCATTGGTTCTTGAGAAGAAGATTTTCAATAATGCCATTAATTTTTTGCTATTTCGTAATTATCTCCCCTTGAGGAGGGCTTGGCCCATCATTTGAAAAAACAAAAAATCCCTTTCACCCAAGGATACTTTGTGCCAAGTTTGATTGAAATTGGCCCAGTAGTTCTGGAGAAGAAGATGAAAATGTGAAAAGTTTACGACAACGCCAATGACAATGACGACAACAGACAACGGACAAATTTCGATCAGAAAAGCTCACTTGAGCCTTTGGCTCAGGTGAGCTAAAAACACTATACTTGGGATACAAATTTCCAAATGTAGTAGAAAAAGAGGAATGAACAAATACACAATGGAAATTTATGGTCGGACTGGAAATTGAACCCAGGACTCCTGCATTACTGGTCAGGTGCTCTAGTCACTGACTATCCAGTAGCCCTTTTCACAATTTTTTTTTTAAGATTTTAAGAATCTGCTACTGAAAATCTTAAGTGGTTTTCATGATCAATATCAAAATGATATTTCTTCAGAGTGAAAAAATATCAAAAGCATACGAAAACTTGAGATTTTCCTTCCTTTCATAAATTTTTTAATTAAAGTGTTATAAAAATACTTCCTAGCCTGTTATAAGATAGCAAGTGTAAACAAACAATCTTAACAGAGACTATCCGATAACTGCTGAAGTTTCTTCAAATTGTTGTTAAAATCCATGTTTACAATATTTTCGATCTCACAATTACTTAGTATTGTTGTCTCATATTCGTGCAACTATGATGTCATAGCCAACAACTGCATTACAAAAAGACAGAGGCAAAGGAAACATAGGTAATCAAAGATTACGAAGCTCACTTTGACAAATGTTATCTATAAGTAAAGCATATCTCACATCATATTTTTTTTTCTAGTTAGTGTTCATCCCAAGATCAATATATCCATGCAACTTTGGTTAAGTAGGACTTACAGTTACTTGGAAAGAGACTTTCCTGCTCAAACAACTTTTAACCAGTTTACTAATCAAGAAAGTTTTGGTCATGCAGTTCTAACACCCAAAGCAAGTCTGGAAGTTTTCATCCTTAGATGCACAATCTATGCAAGTTTAATCATAACAGGCCATAATATTACATAGCTACTCTGGAAACATTACCCTGGTCACTCATCTGGAAACTGTAGGTCAGATTCAGAATCCAAAGCAAGCCTGGAAGTGTCCATCCCTATAGATACATCATCCATGCTAATTTGGTTAAAATATGGCTAAAATTCACTAAAATTCACAAATCTATGTCAGATCCAGCATTCAAAGCAGGTTGTTTAGTGTACTTCCCTAGATGCATCACCCATGCAAGTTTGGTCCAGGTAAGACTATAGTTACTTGGGAATGGACCTGCTCCAAAAACTTAAATTAACCTGGTCACTCATCTGGAAAATGTAGGTCAGATCCAGAATCTGAAGCAAGTGTGGTAGTGTCCATCCCTAGATGCATCATCCATGCAAGTTTGGTCCAGGTAGGGCTAATAGTTACTTGGGAATGGACTTGCTCCTAAACCTTTAACAGGGACACTAACGCCGACGCCGGGGGTATAGCATAAGCTCATCACGACTTCATCGAGGTGAGCTAAAAATCAAAGAAAATGTAATAAACAGATAATTCAATGTTTAGTAGATGAATATATTATTCATTTCATTAGATGTGGGACAGGAGTATTTATAGTTTCACTCAATTGTTTCGTACTCATGAAAATATAAAAAAAATCCTGTCCCAAGTCTCAAGAAATAAATTCCACATCCAAATACAAAGCATTAAATGTCCTCTGTTTGTTTTTTCAACAATAACTGTGAAATTTTTTGAAATATATCTGTAGGGTGCATCAAAAAGGTTTTTTTATATTTATGAAAAAAAAATGCCTATAAAATACTTATCAGAGGGTTAGAGCTCTCGATAAAGTTACGACAAAAATTTCACACATAACAATCTCCTAAGAATTTTCATGAAATGGTACAAAATCATGTGTTTCCTCTAATGCCAAAAAACAATCCTCAGATTTTTTGTGAAAAGGGAAGGGAGTACCTGCCAATATCTGGTTCATATTAGTCCTAACTACAACACTCCTCCCTAGCTCCTTCAATTGTCTTCACCAATGAAGAAAAAAATAGCCCAGATTCTTTTTGCCCCTGGTAGGATCCCAGACCTGGTCTAATTAGAATTATGTTTTAAATTTAAATTTATTTATAGTCTGTTTATTTTGAAATAGTTATAATTAATCAGCTGTTACCGTAATCAGTGCTCTTGTAGTCAAATCAGGATTATCTCATTGTACAAGATTGGTTGATGCCACTTCTTTTAAGTTTAGATATTAAACGCACACACAACTTTGACTTTACAGTTATACAAAATCAAAACCAATTTCACCAAAACCATTTTAAATTGGTTATAAAACAACAAAGTGATATACCAAAAAAGAATTTTATTAAATGGATTTCAAATGGAACCTGGCATCAACTGACACTTTTTGTGCTGCATTAAAATTATAGTAAAGTGTTATATAAAATAAAATAAATCAATGCTTGAAATGAAAATTAGATTTACTGAACCAGAAAATGATAATAAGATTTACTGAACCAGAAAAGGATTATCCCAAAATAAAATTTGAGTATGCAGGTACGTTTTAAAAACAGAAGGGGATTTTTGTTGTCTAGAAGAGAGAATTTTGTTTTAATTCAACATTAGCAAATCAAGAGATATTTTTCAAATTGATCAACTCCATATAATAATTAAGTCAACACTACCATTTTTCTTTTTTGTTAAAAAATTTGCATAATGAAAGTATTTTTTCAATCATATCTATATATACACGTGTCTATGATTTTTAAGTAAGATAAGACAAAAGGCACTTCAAATTGACAGAGATTTAGCCAGTCAGTGCATATTTGAGTATTGACTTGAAATCAAACTGGACTAAACAAAACTCATTATGGCCAGACCCATATTAGGTTGATTAGACATCAAGAAAAATCCAGAAAACAAGAGGCTCATGGGCCACAATGCTCACATGAATTACCTTGGTCCTGTTGTTCTTCATCAGAAGATTTTCTTTTTAAATAATTTTCCCCTCTCAGAAAATTTTGGACCCATTGTGGCCCCATCCAAGATGCATACTTAAAATATGACAATTCATGGTCCTGCTGGTCTTGAGAAAAAAGATTTTATTAAGATTTTAAATTTTCCTGTACGTCCCATGTTAAACTTTCAGATCTCCTATTATGGTCTGAGACTATCTCTGGGCCATGTTTCCACCAATTTTGAATCTGTACAGCCTGATGCAAAGTATATCAATATTACTTAGATATATTATTATGACTTAAATTATTGCTTTGCTGTTCTTGAGAAGATTTTTAAAATTTTTCTCTGTATATTCCTATGTAAACTTTGATCCCTTTTTGAGGCCAGACCATACCCCTTGGAGCCAAATTTTAACTTTAAATTTAAACAATCTTATATCAGCACTACTTGAGGATGCTTGCATATACATTCTGTATTATCCTTATCCTTAGATATACTTGAGAAGATTTTTAAAAAATCTTCCTATATACACTCCATGTAAAACTTTGATCCCCTGTTGTGGACCCACCTACCCTGGGGACATGCTTTGAACAAAGTTGAATCTACACTAGATGTATGGAAGCTTTCACATAAGTTTTATCTTTTGTGGCCAAGTAGTTCTTGAAAATAATTTTTTTTAAGATAACCCCCCATTTTTGAACAAATTTGAATCCTCTTCACCCAAGGATACTTTGTGATATAATAGTCAAATCCACACCTTGCAAAAGTTGTGTCCCTTTGCGGGTCAACCAAAAGGTCAAAGGGGAAAGAACTGACATTTCTCCTATTTATGCTACCAAACATTTGGGCATGCTCCAATAAATCCACTGAGTTTAATATTTTTTCTTTCGATGTATGGGTAGCCCCATCCTAAGGCAATCAATATACAAAATTCACAGAAATTTTCATAGTCAAATGACAAAGTTACAAACCAGAAAACTACAAAGCTACTGTGAGGATTCTATGGGTTTTTCCCCAAAGGTGGTGACCAAGGAACATAACTTTTGAAAAGTGTGGATTCAACTATTAAGATTGGTTGAAATAGGTCCAGTGATTCAGTGATTCCGGAGAAATCAAAAATTTTGAAAGTTAATAGATGGATGGATAGACAGACAGCTAGACAAACTATGGATAACAGGTGATCAGAAAAGCTCACTCTCATGAGAGCTAAAAATTCATATGTCAACATGGTCAATGTAAAAAATATAGTAGTATCATCTTCTAAGAAGAAATGTCTTAACAAGTTCATTAAATCAAACAAAGCCAATAAAATTTATATGAATCTAAAAAATTAGTTTTGGATGGATAAAACTGCTAGATGAAGAAAAACAATGAAATGAGACCACAAGTCAAGGACAAAGAGAATGTGTATTACTGTACAGGAAGAGATTGGTACAAGGATGTCTCACATGCTAACACAAAGAAGAAACTAACAAAGAATTTTAAGTGCTGAAACTCTAAGATATGTAAAGAGAATTTTCTTCTTCCTCGATGTTTAGCATGAAGGAAAGATACCCAAGAAAATAATATGCATGGATGTCAATTTCTGTATTTCAATTTTCAACTTGAAATAGTAGAACAGAAATTTGCATCACTATCCATTATTAACAGCATGTAAAACTTCTAAACTTGATAGAATCTTTCCAGCAAGGTCAATATGCTTTTCTTAGTGGAGTCAATGTATCTCGAATTCCATTCAGTGATTCCACATGGCCTATTCATTACAACAATCAATTCCTCCCCACCCCCACCCTCCCCCCATCCCCCCTTCTATCCTCTCAAGTACATGACAAAGGTATTTAACAAAGTGAATGCTGCACATGTACAGTAGATATCAAATGGACAAACTGCTATAGAAATTATGGTCAGATGGGTATGATTGCCAGTGGCCAGATAACTCAGTTGATACCTCTTTGCTAGCCAAGTTTTTTGATTTGTAGCCCCTCATCTCCCCCTCCACCTTGGAGGGATGAGGGAAAATGAATCAGACACTTGTCTAGGGAAGATGAGTTGACCATCTGTCTAGAGTTTTTTTTTCTTGGGGGGGGGGGGGGGGGAGGGGTTCAAGTCAAGGTCTGGTCCCTCATTTTTCTCCTTTACTGTTATATTTGAATGCTGTGGCCTGACTGCCATATACACATACACAAAAAAGTCCAAGTACAACTGCTTCCCACAGAGGTCCGAAAGATAATTATACAAAATGGCAACTACAAGTTAATTATTTTATCTTGGACTACTCCAATATGTCTGAAAATGTTCTTAAACAAGATATGAAAGCAAATTCGGTGTTTATATACAGGTCACCTAGATGAAAAGAAGAAATATATGGACCACTGAGTTTAGATATCTTTGGAGTTTTGATCCATCCAAAATTATAAGCATTAAAATTTGACCAACTTCTACAAAGATAATGACTTAATTTTAAGACATGCATATGAAGAAATTACATGTTTATCATAAAACAATTAACCATATTTATGAAATTACTATTAAACAAATCAATTTCTTCTGCATTCTCTCAGTAACACAGTTGTTATTTTTTACTCCCTGCTTTGAGCATGTTGAGGTTGACAAAACTTGTCTAACCTATTTAAATCAATTTAATCCAACCATTTCTTTAAAAGCATATTTATTTTACTTTTTTCATAAATAATCTATACTTGCTATTCATTCACAATGGCAAATTTGTGATAAATATTTCTTCAGTAATTTCCACAAATTGATACATGTACCAGTTTGTGGACACTTTAGTAAAAAGTGTTTTTTCTTGATTTTATAAACTTAAGGTAATTTCTTATTTCACTGCTTGAAGACTAACTAATAAAGACTAACTAATTTAAAGGAATAAGTAAAACATGTTACAAAACAGTTCAGCTTTGAGGGGAATGACTTGAAAGTTAAAAATCATGATCGTATTTGATATAATTTGCAACTCGTTAATATGAAAGCTTTTGGAGCTAATGAGGCAAGAGAACTGCCAAAAATTACAACCTCTGTGATGCAGAAAAAAGTATTTATATGAAATGTGCATGCTACTGCACGGTTTAAATTCCCCATGGTTTGGTGGTCTGACTAAGAAATTGGTCTGACAAGGAATTGTTCAACAACCAGCACAGACAGCGAAAACTGAATACGTACATGCAGTTCTAGAATTTATATGCATGTGTTTCAGGTAAAAGTTGTAAAATTGTTTGAGTTATGCATCACTATTTTATTTAGAAATAAAATATGAGCTCAAAATACATGCAAATGGAAATCACATCCTTCTTGTTTAAAACAAAAAAAGTAATAATCTCAATTCATTTTGGTATGTTTGCAAGAAACCGATCATACATCAGACGTTCAGTCTGATTTTTACTCGTTTGACTTACCCTCCTTTAGAATGCTCTCTGCAGCTTCTCGTGGTATCTTTCCATGGTACCATGAAATTGGGTCATCTTTGTTAGCATTAACCCGTTTATCTTCCTCGAGAAGCTGGTCCAAGTTTGTTTGCTTTAGGTTTTCTGTAACGTTAAGAAATTCGCTCACAGGGTCGTTTGCATACACAGAATCATATCGTTCTTCGTCATAAGCGTCATCCATCGTTTATTTGTAGCCTTAGTGAAAAAAATCATGTGTGTTTCACGGATTTATCAATTCTTGTTTTATTTTACTTTTCCACTTCCTGGTTCCATGCCGTTTTGTTGTATCACGTGACTCAAATAGGATGGTAGTTTGTAACTCGATCCCGATTAATTAATATCAAACTTCCCTTTGCATTCGTGTCGCACGATCGATTTTTTTAAACCCTTGATTCGCACATCAGAAAAATATTAATAGTTTTCATAAGCTCAACAGTATGCCAAGACATATAGGCCTAGTATTTAAAAATGCAAGATTGAACATATTGGCGGATCTAGGGTAGGGATCGAACCTTCAGGAAGCGTACCCCCGGACAAGCCCTTGATAAAACTTATAGACACCAATTATCTATACCTACTGTGGGTCCTAACCTTTTTGAAAGCTTGGACCCCCCGAAGATATCTTTAATTATTTGAAGATATTATCAATTAATTTGATGATATCTATTTATTTGATGATATCATCAATTAATTTATCTGATCCATGCAACAATTTAATTACAGATCTCTTCAAATAAAAATTATATTTTCAATACCGAATTATTGCGTGTTAGTTCATTTATTCATTCGCTGAATTTATGCACACAATAATTGATTGTTGCTCTCTTCAACTGAATTATTGCGCCTTCTGCAACAGCTGCAACATTAATTACCCTATTAACAACCAAAGAAAGTATTTTATTGTTTAAATCGTCAATTGAATTGATGAACGCAATAATTTAATCAATGCACACAATAATTCTTTTAGAGAGAGCAACTATTTAATAAGTCATATATATTCAAATCAACATATCCATAAGTTAAATAATAACTAAGTTTTTTTAACTGAATTACAGGACTTTCTGATATGCGCATTAATTCATCTATAGCGACAATGTTATGAAATGATTGATGATACATGTATTTTCACACACGAAATACTTTTTTTTAATGTTTGGGCAAGTCTAATCCTCTTTTTTTTCTTTGTGAAGAAAAATTTTGTTAGAGCTGATGTTAACACCCCACCCCCGAAAATATTCCGGATCCGCGCCTTCGCGTAATTCTCGAGTTGATGTGTTCACCAAATTAATTTTTGTCTCATTAAGTCAGTTGATTCGCGCATCAAGTCCATTGTTGAGAGCAATAATTGATTTGATATGTGCGCATCAATTTAACTATACTGTGTACAAGAATTGAATTGATGATACCTTCAAATACAATTTATTAGAGATATCTTCAATTATGTCATTGTTTTTTGGCCTTGCACAACTCATAGGGATCATCAGTAACATATGCTAGATTTTACGTGATCACTTTAATATTATACAAAAGGGAACCCTTCACCTTTGACATTTTTTGCTTATTTCTATAAATATTACAAAACAATTTAAAATATCGATTTGTATTTTGTATCTACGTAAAGGTTATAGGCCGAAAACTGTCCATTCTGTGAGAAGAAAGAACTGTTGGAGGGCCGTTAGGCCCGACAATAGTTCTTTCTTTTCACAGAATGGACAGTTTGAGGCCTATAACCTACTTAAAACATTTACTCTATTGTGTTCATAATGTACTCTCTTAGAATTGTTTCTCCTCCATTGTATTGAGTAAGCATTGTCTACATATTGGACTGTCTCAGGTAAAGGTTGCTGTCAATCAAGCGAAGCTTTTACATTCATTGTAATTGTTAACTTAGTGGACAGTTACAGGTAAGTGCTAATTTTAAATAAACGAATTAAGAATATTTAACCACAATGCCATGATATTCCCAAATCATTTTCTTGGGATTGTCAATGTTGAAAGCATGTCTTCATCCGAGGGGGAAAGCATATTTCTGATACAAATCAAATTCAGATATGATGATCAATCTACTAATAATACAGATGTCATTTTTCTAGTGATTTTTGGATTTTGAGGTTAGGATTTCAAAGTAATGAACTTTGAAGTCAAAGTGGACGATTTTTCAAATATTTCTCAACATTTGGCCAAGGATATTCAAGGAAGCAGAAAAACAAAGGGAATGTAGAAAGATTTCCGCAATTAAATCAACAATATTTAGATGATTTAGAAAAGGCTTTTCGCAGAAAACAGAGAAATGTAAATGGGCAGTGACTGTGTTCTTTAACTGTCAGGAAGAATGTTTCATAGTAACCATCGTTGATGTTTTCATGCTTAAGGATGTTGGGTGATAAAGAAATCAACAAAATCATTATTTTCATCGCTGAGGCCAGAAACGAATCGGACAAAGACTAAAAAAAAATACTCTTGCATTCCTATAACAGAAGAAACTATGTGCTCCGGCAGAAAGTGCATGAGTAAAATTATTCGGAGTTCTATTGAGAAAGAAGTAGCGATTGACTCTTGCCAGTAAGGCATTAAAAAGGGAGAAGTGATATTCCCGCTTGTGTTGTTGGTGCAAGTTACATAGAATTCAGAGATATTTCCTTCAAATTTAAGTTTTGACATTCATTGTGATATGGAATATACATTTAATAATTTTCAATTTTTGTTTCTGTGACTCGGAATATATATTTCATTACATTATGAAACTTGTTGGATTCATTACACCAAATATTTATTTGTGTCTTTGTTGTGTTTCCTTAATCCATTAACTTACCTGTAGCCGTCCAATAAGTTATTTTTTACTGTCCATTATTTTTAATAATGGACAGATTTTTTGACTTACTGGACGGTTACAGGTAACTTATTAGACTGTCTTGGGTCTTTAAAGGAATAGAAGGTATTAAAAGAACAAAGGATGATGTCATACTGATGTTTTAAGATATTTTCGAGGACCCCACTGGAAATAAGTCTTTATGGCTTTCATGGGTCATCCTTGGGAAAATGGCTATAAACAGTGTCTATATTTATGTTCATTTTGACATTTCGATATAAAAATTGTTGTTTTTTTTTTTTTTCATAATTACCTTTTTTTAATAATGTAATTTTACTTGTATTTTATAATTTCTATAGATTTCATGTGTCAACTATGTCCTATATGTGCCATTTCCTGAATAAACAATCAAACAACAAATAAATTAAAACTCTAAAATACTAACTTTCAATAAAATTCTTAAAACTGGTTTTAATGTTTGTACACAACTCAAAAATAGGAACTGAACAGAGATGAATCATAGTCACACGAGTTTTAAGTGTCAGAATCAATTAATTACATAAGGCAATACGATCGTCATGCCTTTAACAAATAAAATGCACGTAGCTGTCATTGAAACTTCCTCGAATCTGGCTTGTTTCGCAATCTGCGATCTATTTTTTATTTTATTTTTATACAACTATATCAAGGGTTTGATTTTTAATTTACTGGGTGGAGGTAAATGCAGAAATTTCAAACATGGTAACAGTAATCATGTTGTAAACTTTGTATTTACCCCAACCTAGTAAATTCAAAATATACATTACCATATACAGGGAAAAGATCGACATAATTAATTTTTTTCATAAGAAAACTTATTTTAAAGATATGTTTAGCTTTGTATTTACCTCAACCTAGAAAATTCAAAATACGCAATACCTACCATATATCGGGAAAAGATCGAATTAAATTTTTCATGCTTTAAGTTATTCCAAAGAATTGTATTATATTCATGGATAAAAGGTGCATGGTATAATATTCAGTATAAATTATTCTTTTTAATATTCTTGAATTACCATGATATACTATAGCCGACGTTTTATTTGAAAATCATAAGCAAGCAAGATCAATGTATACAGTGTATATACCCGAGTAAGCATACAGACACTCCGAGGAACAGAAAAATAAGATTTTTTTCTTTTATTGAAAGAGTGGCTATGGATAAAAACTGCATTTATTTGTTTGATTTTTTTTTCAAAGTACATATTTTACAATATTATTATAAATGTGACTTGAAACAAACTTTTTTGTGGACCAAAATGTGACCATCTAAATATTATTAACAATAAAAAAAAATGTGTACAAAAAATCGAAAAGATTAAATAACTGATCAGCGAACTATTTCTATCTCTGCACTCTTTTTTTCCCATCGTTCCTTGCGCTGTAAGTTTATTTATGTACATTTGTTGGTTTGTACATTACATGTATTTATTGTTCATTTTCTTTGCATTGGAGAGCTAGGACGATTTAAGTTTGAAACACTTGTGTCTGGATGCAGTCAGACTGATTATGATTCAATAAAATATTTTGAATTGATCGTCAAATCATGTTAGTACTTAGTAGTAATATACCCAACACATTTGTCTTTTTCAAATTATTCAAATGGCGATTTTTATATTATTGATTTGCTTATCGATTTTACAGTTAATGAATTAGTAAGAAATGTCATTTATATAATTAGTAATATTGTATGGAATGAGCGCTAATCAGGAACAAAAAGTGGAAATTATTCTCGTTGATATTTGTTGTATATTAAAACAACTGGTTAACTAACATAGAACTGATCTAGGCTAAAATCAAAGACCAATCCACTTCCGTATTTACTTGTTTAAAAATTGTGTGTTAAATCTTTTTAGAAAAGTCCATGTTGTAAAATAAGAATTACTTTTTAATATATTATGAAATATTAACTTGCATTACACTAATTAGCATATGAATACTCTTTGTTCCTTTTTTAAGCTTATGTTCATGTATCGGAAAACTGCAGAGTCATAGTATGTTAAAATTAATGTCGGGATCGCTATTCACACAATTCTTTCTTCTTTCAGTTTCCAGAAAAGGTAAACAAAAGAAACTGTCATAGCTTTGTAATAAATATAATATCACGGAGTACTCCGAGTAGTGTTTGTATAATAAATTAATGTACAGATTTATACTACATTCAAAGTATAATGATTTATTTGTAAAAATGTTGATCCTAATTCCAATTTATACGCTGTAATTTATACACTGTACTTCAAGATGGCGGATGACATGGAAGTTGAAAGAGAACCAGATAGAGAGAGTGCAAAGAAAGCTGACAAAATGTTTACCCTGAAGAAATGGAATCTTGTTGCAATGTGGAGCTGGGATGTAGAATGTGATACATGTGCTATTTGTCGTGTTCAAGTGATGGGTAAGGTTATCAAACATTTAGCAGGTCCATCACAATCTCTTGATTAAGCTATATAGCTTGAATTAGCTATATAGTTTTAATACTTTGACGGTCCGACCGTTGGGGCGAGCACAGTTGTGTATTATTGGATAGCTATCTCAATTTTAACTTAGATCCGCCTCTTCAAACTGCACAAGACATTTGGTAGGTATAGACTTACTCTAGCATGCTAGAAGTTCACAGCAAGATCTTTTTGACTTGGCGTCGTGTAACCTCCAGCATCTATTGTACAAATTCTCACTGCTGAAACCCCAAATGAAAATAAATTGTTTAATTAAAAATTCAGGCTTTAAACAATAACAAATGACTCGAAACAATAAAATATTCACTATTTGCTATAAAACTTACACATAAAACAATGTTAATCTCTCGTATTAGCGATAAATCCATTATTTTTAAAATCGAAGTAGAAATGTAAGTTTGAAATTTGGGAATGGATTGCAGAAAATCTGACAAAACAAAACGAGTTTTCCGTTATGAAATAACTGAAATTTTCACTTTTTGACTAGCAATCTCCGCAAAATTAACATGAAGTCAAATCAAAAGTAATTCTGTTGACAAATTGAAATAATGACAATTTTGATTTATGAGGGTTGTTAGAATAGTTTGCGGACGTGTTGATTTACGGAAAATATATTGTAAACGTTGAAGAATGATGTATGTCTAATTAAATTCTTATCTTTTGTTCATTAGTATGTAAAAGATCAGGTTCATTTACTGAAATTTTGAAAAAATATGTTTATTTTTACTGCGTGGTCATAGGATTCATGGAGCAATCACTTGACATTTTATGACGTTAGGTGACGCAACGACCTGATTCCAGACCTGTGAAACTTTTTCACAGTTCTGAATATCTTTCATTTCTATAGACTTTTCATGTCTTCTTCTGACTTAAAAATTGAAAAAGTATATCAAGGCATGTTAGATATTTTTTAATGTCTTTTGTGGCGTATCGGATATTAGTGAAATCTTTAAAACAATGTCTATGCAGTTCAGCGATCAGATATGAGAAACAATGCAAAATCCACAGGTGCAACGTCCATGCGATGAACAGGATATTGGGGGTATCAAAGGAGTTGATAATCAAAAATGTATATTTTTTTCATTCTAACAAAGTTGTTACCACTTGAAAACTTTGGTACTAGATACGTGTAAGCCATCCCCAGCAGCTGCGCATCTAAAAAAATTTAGACTCTTTCGGGAATTTTCCTGTCTGCACACATAATTTTTTAATAGCTCAGTGCTCCAAGACGTTCAATGACGTTACCATTTTTGGCATTGTTTTTACGCATTGATCATTAATAATTAGTGATAAAACAGTCATGACTCATCCAGTTTAATTCAAAATTGACGTTTCATGAATATGGTAGCGAGAAGTGAAATATCATAAATCTTTATGCGCTACAACAGTGCAATTTTTAATTTCAAAACTATGTCTCTGAAATGCAAAAGTGTGAAAAAGTAACATGCTCCGTGAAGCATGTTTTATTTTAATAATTTTGCTGTATATTTTTTAAAAATCATCTAAAAATACCAAATTTTTGCATATTAATTGGAAAATACATATAGCTTTTACCTGCAGAGTTTTACTGATTTCATGCAAATAGCACGCTCACAATAGAACTTGTCCGCGAACTTTTCTAACAACCCTCATATGTACAATGATGCATACTGAATAAAGTGAATTTTATGATTTCTTGTGAGTTTTACCAGTATACCCCACGCAAACACGTAGGTACCTTAGTTAGAATAATCTAACTGTGTCTTGAGACAAGCCCTCACCACAGTTAGAATACGTCCCATATACCTGCAATGTAGCAAATCAGGGCAGATCCGCTCCAAAATGATTTTAAAGAATATAAAAGGAGTTGCACTGAAAATAACTACCAAATTAAACATAACAAACATTTTTAGCTCACCTGAGCTGAAAGCTCAAGTGAGCTTTTCTGATCACCCGTTGTCCGTCGTCCGTCCGTCCGTCTGTCCGTCCGTCCGTCCGTCCGTCTGTAAACTTTTTACATTTTCAACTTCTTCTCAAGAACCACTGGGCCAATTTTAACCAAACTTGGTACAAAGCATCCTTGGGTGAAGGGGAGTTTAAATTTTTAAAATAAAGGGCCAAGCCCCCTTCCAAGGGGAGATAATCAAGAAAAGACAAAAATAGGGTGGGGTCATTAAAAAATCTTCTTCTCAAGAACCACTGGGCCAGAAAAGCTGAAACTTATGTGAAAGCATCCTGGGGTAGTGTAGATTCTAAATTGTTAAAATCATGACCCCCGGGGGTAGGGCGGGGCCACAATAGGGAATCCAAGTTTTACATTGAAAAATGTAGAAAAAATATTTAAAAATCTTCTTCTCAAGAACCACTGGGCCAGAAAAGCTGAAACTTATGTGGAAGCATCCTGGGGTAGTGTAGATTCTAAATTGTTAAAATCATGACCCCCGGGGGTAGGGCGGGGCCACAATAGGGAATCCAAGTTTTACATTGAAAAATGTAGAAAAAAATCTTTAAAAATCTTCTTCTCAAGAACCACTGGGCCAGAAAAGCTGAAACTTATGTGGAAGCATCCTGGGGTAGTGTAGATTCTAAATTGTTCAAACCATGACCCCCTGGGGTAGGGCGGGGCCACAATAGGGAATCCAAGTTTTACATTGAAATATGTAGAAAAAATCTTTAAAAATTTTCTTCTCAAGAACCACTGGGCCAGAAAAGCTGAAACTTATGTGGAAGCATCCTGGGGTAGTGTAGATTCTAAATTGTTCAAATCATGACCCCCGGGGGTAGGGCGGGGCCACAATAGGGAATCCAAGTTTTACATTGAAATACGTAGAAAAAATCTTTAAAAATCTTCTTCTCAAGAACCACTGGGCCAGAAAAGCTGAAACTTATGTGGAAGCATCCTGGGGTAGTGTAGATTCTAAATTGTAAAAACCATGACCCCCAGGGGTAGGGCGGGGCCACAATAGGGAATCCAAGTTTTACATTGAAATATGTAGAAAAAATCTTTAAAAATCTTCTTCTCAAGAACCACTGGGCCAGAAAAGCTGAAACTTATGTGGAAGCATCCTGGGGTAGTGTAGATTCTAAATTGTTCAAATCATGACCCCTGGGGTAGGGCGGGGCCACAATAGGGAATCCAAGTTTTACATTGAAATATGTAGAAAAAATCTTTAAAAATCTTCTTCTCAAGAACCACTGGGCCAGAAAAGCTGAAACTTATGTGGAAGCATCCTGGGGTAGTGTAGATTCTAAATTGTAAAAACCATGACCCCCAGGGGTAGGGTGGGGCCACAATAGGGAATCCAAGTTTTACATTGAAATATGTAGAAAATATCTTTAAAAATCTTCTTCTCAAGAACCACTGGGCGAGAAAAGCTGAAACTTATGTAGAAGCATCCTTGGGTAGTGTAGATTCTAAATTGTTCAAATCATGACCCCTGGGGTAGGGCGGGGCCACAATAGGGAATCCAAGTTTTACATTGAAATATGTAGAAAAAATCTTTAAAAATCTTCTTCTCAAGAACCACTGGGCCAGAAAAGCTGAAACTTATGTGGAAGCATCCTGGGGTAGTGTAGATTCTAAATTGTAAAAACCATGACCCCCAGGGGTAGGGCAGGGCCACAATAGGGAATCCAAGTTTTACATTGAAATATGTAGAAAATATCTTTAAAAATCTTGTTCTCAAGAACCACTGGGCCAGAAAAGCTGAAACTTATGTGGAAGCATCCTGGGGTAGTGTAGATTCTAAATTGTTCAAATCATGACCCCTGGGGTAGGGCGGGGCCACAATAGGTATTACAAGGGGGAAATCGGGTGAAAAACAGCAAGGCCAAAGTTACTCAGGTGAGCGTTGTGGCCCATGGGCCTCTTGTTGAGATTGCCTATGCCTTTTAACCTAAAAAATAATTCATATAAATATGAAAATTCAACTCATTTTCTCAACATTTTTCCTAGCTTCAAATTTACACACCATGTTGACATTTGGAACTCTCTGGATTGTTCATAGAAAATGCAAGGAGTTCGAGTCATCGCCCGTGTTTATTTTGCTACATTGCCAATACACGGAACAAATTCTATCATTAAACCATGTCCATAGGACAATATCATTTTAACAATAGAAGTTTTATCTAGTAGGTACCTGAGAATTACTTGTTTACAGTATATTTCACGCACAATATGTTCCACCCAAAATCTCAGGTGGAACAAGCTCGATAGAAAATGGCCTTCAGATGTAAGAGTCTGAGGTATATAAGGAGCGTATGGACGTTAACCGAGGCTCTTACTTATAGGAGTAGTATAGACTGTGACATCATATGACGTCGTATGTTAGAAAATTAATCAGTTTCTCAGGCACTGCCACATCAGGTCAAAAGCTGACGTATTGTTCAATTTTATTGACATATTGAAAAGGGAAATAACCAAATTTTCTATTTTTCAAAGTTTTTCCTCTTTTTCATAAATATGTGTACTAATATATACCAGTAGAAGTTTTATTAGACAGACAATGTATTTCTTGTTAATACGGTATTTTATGAATTAACTTTTTGACAAATGTTTGGAATAACATTATTTAAAGTTGAATCATATTATAATTTATGTAAGAGAATAAAAAAGTAATAATCAGTTGATATTATCATTTTGTTGACATGAAAAAAGGTATAACACATACTTCCAAAAAAAAAAAAACCTGCCTGCCATATTGGATTTTGAAATTTTTGGCCTGAGAAACTATTAATTAATTTTTATTGGCCTTATCGATATCAGTCCATAACAATGTGTATCTACAGAAAGTAAGACTGTTTGTTTATTCTTTATTTTATTGTAGATGCCTGTTTGAGGTGTCAGTCAGAGAACAAACAAGACGACTGTGTTGGTATGTGCTTTAGAAAAATTTCAACACACATTACAAGCTAAATTGGTTTCATATGAATTTATCTACAGTCAAATCTTTTTTTTGAACTCAATGGGACCAAGAAGAATCTACAAGATATCTGAGAATTCAAGATATTGAGGTTAAAATGCAAAATAAAGAAAAAGTGATTTAGACCCCCTTCTCATTTCAACATATCCATGGTACTAGTATTTGGGATACTGAAGTTCAACTGTATTTATCATTTAATGTATAACTTTTGTGCAATGGTATGTGGAGATTCAATAAAGTTAGCGAAATGATACATCAATACTTTAACATGCATCCTTTTTTGTCCTCCTGTATAGTTGGTTGGGTACATATAGAGTGGATATATTCCTTTGTGATTTCTTTCAATTGTTCTGTATTATTAATCTTTTAGCGTGATTTTGTATTTTACTTATTTTTAGAAAAAAACTATTAGAAGTTTTTTCCATCATTTTAATTCATTTATTACATTTTCAGTAGTGAAATATTGTGATTTATTTATTGAATAAATGTGATATATTCTTTCACAATGTGAAAGGATACCAAAATGATATTCTGTCACAGCATGAAGGAAATCAAAGTAAGTAAAAATGATTTTTGGCCTGTCATAAGATTGAGATAGTAACTAAAACTATAAAATATAGGGACTAAAACTGTAAATTTTCTCCCAAACATATTGCTAAAATCCGTGTTACAATGTTTTCAATATCACATTGAATTGCTAAGCTATGACGTCTCAACTATTCAACTATGAAGTCACATCCTATGACACTGTGTTAGGAAAAGACAGAGGCAAAGGGAAAATCAAAGAAAATGTAATAAACAGAAAATTTAATGTTTTGTAGTTGGATATGGAATTTATTTCCTTTGTGAGACAGGATTTTTTGATATTTTCACTCATGCTTCACACTTATGAAAAATGTCAAAACATCCTGTCCCACTCATGAAATAAATTCCATATCCAAAAACAAATCATTGAATATCCTCTATTTATACTCGCAGATAGATCTTAATAAGAGCATTTTGACCAGAATTGAGAAATTTTAGCCAACTGGACTTTGACTTTGACACAAAAATTCTTTATATTTGTCTTAAACTACCTTTTTTCCACATGTACAGTGTATACATTAGACAAGTACTGAAGAGAACCAAGTATTTTAAATATGCCTTAATTTTTTAAAGTTGACATTCCTTGTGACAGTAAACATGAGTTCTCATTCTCTTTGCTTTGAACACGTAGGTGTTTGACTGTGTAACCTTCACACACAGATACAGTTGAACTTTCATATCTCATATACCATGGATATATCAAAGTGAGTTGAAACTTGTAACCACATTTTCTTCATGTATTTTAAATTTTTAACCTCAACATCTTGAATCCTCTGATACCTTAAAGTTTTTTTTTGGACTCACCCAGTTTGAGATATTGAGGTATGACCATCTAAAAAATTTTTGATGAGAATATTTTAATGTTCAAGAACTGATGAATATTCAAGGTGCCTGTGGCTAAGATGTTATGCCTGTCATTTTCTTGTTTAGTTTCCTATGGAATTATTTCTAATTTTGATATACATACATGTACTTTTTATATCAGATGGCAGGTAGGTTTCATTTAAATTTCAATTTGAACAACTACTAAGTTTGAATCACTATTATTCATATACAGTAAAACTTGTCTAATCTGGACACCATCAGTTCAAAAAAAGTTTGCAGGATTAGACAGCATTCCGGATTAGACAACATTTTAGATAAAGGAATTTACTGAAAAGGACTTAAAATTAACATCATATTAGACAAGATTATGGATTATACAACATCATTAGGCAAGTTTCACTTATTATATCAAACATAGGTTGGGTTTTATTCAAATTTCAATTTGAACAACTACATAAATTTGAATCAATGTCCTAATAACCTGCTTTACCTGTAGGTGGAAGATCAGATCTTGAGCATTTTTGTTCCCCAGCTTCATGAAAGCAAGGGGACATTAAATCTCATTCCTCTGTCAGTCTGTCCATTTTGTCAGTCACAAAAACTTTACCTTGGTCATAACTTTTGAATTAGAAAAGATAGGGCTTTCATATTTCACATGTACATTACCTGTAACAAAATCTTTCCAAATATACTAAATTTTTTGACCTCGTGACCTTGACCTTGAAGTTTGACATACTTTTAAAAACTTTTTACATTGCTTTTACTTTGGTCATAACTTTTGATTGAGAAAAGATAGATCTATCATATTTTTCACCTTCAATACTTGTGACAAGACATTTCCAAATATACCATGATTTTTGACCCTGTGACCTTTACCTTGAAGTTTGACCTACTTTTCTAAAATGTTGATATTGATTATAACTTTTGAATGAGAGAAGATAGGGTATTCATATTTGACATGTGTGTTACCTGTGACAAGGCTTTTCCGAACATGCAATGATTTTTGACCCTGTGACCTTGAACTTTTAGTTTGACCCGATTTTCAAACATTTTAACATAGGTGATAACATTTGAATGACAGAGGAAAGGACTTCATATTTGACAAGTGCATCACCTGTGACAAGAAGTTTCCAAATGAGCTTTGATGTTTGACCCTGTGACCTTGACCTTCAAGTATGACCTACTTTTCCAAAAAAATTATCCTTGCTGCTAACTTTTAAAGGAGAGAAGGTAGGGCATTCATATTTGACATGTGCATTACTTGTGAGAAGACCTTTCCAAATGCATAATTGCCATGACCTTGAAGTTTGACCTATTTTTCAACAATTTTAACATTGCTAGTAACTTTTGAATGGCAGAAGATAAGAAATTTATATTTGTTTTGTGTATTACCTGTTTCAAGACCTCTCCAAATTTACTCTGGTTTTTGACCTCATGACCTCAATCTCTAAGTTTAACCTACAGTCTTTTTCATATATTTTTTTAATTACAGTTAGTAAGATCTTTTGAATGAGAGAAGACAGGGCTTTCATGTTTTCATATTTTACATGTACATTACCTGTGACAACACCTTTCAGAAAAGTATATCATTTTTGACTTCATGACCTTGGTCTAGAAGTTTGAAGGACACACAAACAAGACAGTTACAATATGCCATAAATATTTGCATCCCAACCACTAAGACACTGAAAAGGGGGGGGGGCACAATTCTTTGAATTTGCTTGTTAAAAGTAGTAGGATTTACAGAATACATGTATTCTATGAAATATAAACAGGTGCCTGGATCATGAATGTATTGTCCATGTATGGTAAATTTGTTGATTTTTTTTTTTCAGTTGTCTGGGGAGAATGTAACCATTCATTCCACCTTTGCTGTATGACTCTCTGGGTGAAACAGAATAAAAGATGTCCACTTTGTCAACAAGATTGGGAAGTTCAGAGGATAGGAAAATAACAGCTGGGAGAAAGAAATTGACAATTTATAATCTGTGAATAAAAATATGATATTAATTTAAAACTTACAGAAGGGTTAATTATTTTAAGAAGTTTTACAATGCTGTCATGTTCAGTTATGATACAGGTCCTTTTTACTACACTGTAGCTACAGGGAAAACTAAAATTAAGACTTAAAGTTTTAGTGGGTTTATATCATTCTTTTTCTATCACTGTTAGAGTACCTAATAAAATGCAGCCAGGTATTGTGAGTTGTAAATTTGGAAAACATTTGTATCTGTTTTCTTTGTCTTGAAAATGTTTCCAAAGTTTTATGTCCATGTGCTTAAATTATTTAAAGAAATAAAATCACGGAAGGAAATGGACTAGAGGTGTTTGAAATTAATAATAAAAGAGATGAATTATATTCAGTGTTTATATCCTTTTTCTCGAGACTATGAATTGTCAAGCTGTTCATCTTGGTGGATTTGTATACTTTAGTGAAAAACAATTACAACTCTTGTAATATTTTTTTTTTTGGGGGGGGGGGGGGGGGGGGAGTTGAGTACTACAATTACAACATTACATGCATCAATTAATCAAAACACCACCAAGTCAATTATGGCATGGTCATATTCTTAGAAAGTCATGTTGATTTTAGTTGACAAACAATATAGATGAATAAAACAATCATTATTTCATCTATTTTTAAGGGGGAGGGGGTTCAAAACTACATGTATATTCCCTTTTCCTTCATTCTACATGCAAAGTTGTATCAAACAGTTCAGTGTTGATTACCTGTATAAGTAGTTTTCCATATCTGTCTACATGCAGATTTAATGAGTTGTCCCAATTTGTTTAAAATTTCTTGCAGATTTTCATAAATAAAATAGAGAAGAAACAAAAACTCTTTTAGTAACTGTTGACTTGTAATAATCTCCATTGCGTATGAGTGACTGACATGCTTAGAAATTTTTAAAAAGTGGAATTGATGGAAAATATTTCAAATTTACAAATATATAGGTCAATATTAGCTGATTTTATATGTGTAATGTTGGTGTTAGACAAGGGGAAAACTTTGTGTCAGTTCTATTTTCGTTCTTCATTAATGACCTATAAGATCATTCAACCAGAAATCAAATAAGTGGTTTAACAGGTTATAGTCAGCAAATGCAAGATGAAGTTTAATATGTTAAAACTGTTTTCATGTCTGAATCTCCTTCTGATTTACAAAAGTCTCTTTATGTACTTGCTGAATACTGTGATTTATGGAAAATCATGTTAATATTGCCTAAACAGAAGTCCTCATTTTTCTTCTAAAGATCCAATGACAAAACTTAAAGATTCTTTTTTATATAATGGCATGGCTTTTTGAAAATATGAAAGAATTTTGTTCATTAGGTATATTCCTGTCAAAAAATATAAAGTTTAATTATGCAAAGAAACGATTTAACAAGCTTCGAAAGCACTCTATGGAGTTTTACGTAAAATTCGCTATAATTTAAATTTACCAATTCATTGTCAGGTAGACTTGTTTAATGAAGTCATCAATCCAATTTTGCTTTGTTCTTGCAAAGTGTGGGGAAATGAAAATTTAGACACGACAGAAAAAGTACACTTAAAATTTGTGAAATTTATTCTAAACCGTAAATCAAATATTCCATATTGTATGGTGTATGAAGAAACGGGTAGATATCTACTGTCAAAATTTGTAAATTTTAAAATGGTATGTACTGGTCAAAATTTTTCACAGCCTATGAAAGTAAACTTACTGATTTATTCTTTTTTTACAATTGGAATATATGGATGGGTCTTTTGTACACCCATGGATAAAATGTATACTACAAGATATTCTTAATTCTTGTGGACCGTCGTATATACATTGTAGCTTTAACAAGTCTTAAATTAAGAAACTCTAGGAAACCACTTTGTACAAGAATGGAGAAGTATTGTCGTTAGTTTATAGAAATTTATTAATTATAGAAGGAGATGGGCGAACATAGCGTGCAGAAAGCCTATAGCTTCAGAAATATAAAAATCATGTTCAGTTTGTGAATTTAATATTTAGAGTAAAGTTCTCATTATTGAAATTTATGAAATTGTGATAAACAAAACTTTTCTGAGGAAAATTTTCTCGGAAAAATTATTCTTTTATTTAAAAAATTAATGTGGTATTCGTGGGGTTCGAACCCTAGCAATAAAAATCCTGAGTATCATTTTCTTTCGAGACTAGCACGCTAACCACTAGACTACATAAATCCTGACGAACAGTGGCATTTAAATCATGTTTGTGATATGACCCTTGACTTAATGGACTTCAAGTATTTCTCGAAAAGATGCGAATGTTATGTCATAAAAGTATATTTTTAAGGTATAGTGGGTCATTGCTCCATATTTTTGGTAACCAAAAAATGTATATTTTTATACAAACTTTGAGAATTAACTTTCAAAAAGGTGGAGCGAAGACCCACTCATATCGAAAAATAGTGTTATAGTATGCGAAAATGACTCTTTTTGCCCGCTTTAGTGTGTGTCTTATATTTCACAGGCAAATAATTTCAATCTTTGAGGGATTTTTGCAAATTGTAGAGATTTTACATAAAGTATATTTTAATGTTAGATGAAATATCAAGGAAAATTTTGATATAATTGAAATTTAATTTTTCATCTTCATGTTTGTCACACTATAGGCTTATCGCTCGTCATGTTCACCCATCTCCTTTAAAAACGAACTTTGGTCTCGAAAATGGTTGTCAAAATTTATCAATGTTTATTAAGCAAAGTTTTAAATTGAATCCTCTATAATTTTAAATGATTATATGTTTACTTTATTCTTTCTCTATATATAGGTGCCTATTTTTGAACCTTGATTGTTATTTGTGTTGTATGTGCCTCTTGCACCATGCAGTAATTTTTTTTTTAAGAGAATAAAGATTATAAACAGATTTAGAGAGGAATTATATGAGGGTCATAATTATTGTCCAGTACCAATTCTACTTCAGTCTAATTAACCTGTCTTAATTATACCATAAGTTATTCAGAGGGTTGTGTTAAAACGCTAAGGGTGGTATATGATGGTGCCATATAAAAAGATAATCTTGACATCATATCCTCGAGTTACGTAATTTGAATATATATGCTTATACAACAATTAAAATTAATGCTGGGAGCCGGATGTTTACACCAAAGAGTTTGTGTGTGTGCTTTTGACATCTTTCTCAAATCTGATCACAAGCCTAATTAAGTAGAAGAGCCGTGGGAAAAAAATAGCGAAAGCAAGTTATTTTAAAATAGAATACATTATATTATAATTTACCTTCATTGAAGCAAGAAAAAAATTGTAATTTATAATTTTAAAAATGATGCATGCATGGATAGATATATATAATTATTTAAGTCACTATATCAATTTATTTTTATTTTTTGATTTGATTTAAAAACGCTTTCATAACATTATTCCTGTAGTGTATTCATTTTTCCCCTCCCTTTTCTAGAAGGAAAGGAAGGAGAAACACATGTACAAGTCTTTTTTCATGGCGTACGTGACATCCACCCTTTCCCAAAATTATACTATATTATTAGAAACAATTAAAAAATATCGGATAATTTACTGTCGTTCTTATCTCAAGGACTTTGAAACAACACAAAGTGTTCCCGTGGGTTCATCATTGAAAAATTAAAACACAGAACATTAATTACTTTCTGCATTGTAAAAATTGTAATGAATTACGATATAACATTTTTCACACTATAAGAATCAATAAAGGAATATTAGACTTTGAAACAATCTTAATGTGGGTCATAAAAATAACATAAACATTGTTAAAGTTGTGCACATGTACATAAAAAATCGAAAAGAAAAATGATCAGCGTAACCATTCTTATATATCTTATACAGCCCGGGACCCGGGCCTCTCCTCTCCGCTTTTCTCTGCAAGTGCTTTATAGCTCTTTCCTTCCCTTTTATTTCTTGCTTTTTAAATGCATTTTCGTACATTTATGTTTTTTTCATCAAGTGTATTTATTGTTCATTTTCTTTGTATTGGACAGGTGCGTAGCTGCCTATACGCAAATACGCAAGTGCGTACACATCAGAGAGAGAGAGAGAGGAGATTCAAAGAAAAAAATCTCATTTTCATCCAACAAATATTCGTGTTATGAATTATTTTTGTATCATACAGTTTCAACTGAAATTTTATTTTATATGACTGTGTAAAAAAAATTGAAATCCTTTATGAAATCATTGCCAATTTCCAATAAATCATTCGTTAAATTGTAACTGTTCTTAAATACATTGACATTAATTTTAAAAAATCTTTGAGAAATTAAAATTCAAACACATCGTTGAATGCCATGATTTACTAGTACATGATTTAAAATACGGTATTTTTTGCTAATAGTTATCAATAATTAAGTATACGCGTTTTTGAACGTTTAAGAAAGAGTCTATGATACCAATATATACCGTTTAAATATTTAGCCTAAACTACAAGTACAGTAATTTTCCATGGAAGTATTAACTTTGCGATAAAACAATAAATATTGCTATATGTTTAACTTTGCGTTAAAACAATAAATTTTACTATATGTCTTTTATTTGCTAAACAAACGCTAAATTTCAAACTAGTATCTTTTTATTTTGCAAGAAATGAGTGAAATATTTGGTAAAACTTAGGAGCTTCTGGGCCCTCACCAGGAGGGACATAGTTTAGGGGGAAGAGGCAGAGGGGTGCCCCCCCCCCACACTTATTTCCAAACCTAACCTTTCAATCTGGTAATTTGGTAACGTATTAATAAAATTTTGATTAGTGAAAGTTGGAAAGCACCCCCATTCCCCCGTTCTCTGCGTACACTTCACTTCCATTCTGGCTACGCGCCTGTTGGAGATGGCAATCTAAGTTGGAAAAACTTGTGATGAAGTATATATAAAAAATTTTTGAACTGATACTGAAGAAAAAAATCGAAAATAATGCGACCACGATCTATTATTAAAGTACACGTGAGTCGTCGTGTCTGTTTGAAATGTCATGCAGATTCAGCACAAATTATTTATTGAAGGTTATTTCAAGATTTCAGAAAATGTCTGGTACCTGTTCATATTATAAACAGTTTTTTAACAATCAATAGCTCATATAAATAAATCTCATTAGGGAAAAAAGTTTCCTATTGAGCTCGACTTTGAAATAATGCAGATGTTCATTTATCTCTGACTCAAATCAAAACACTGAGTTCAGCGACAAAATCTTAGATCCGCGAGTTTCGCCTTGGGCTCAATCGGAACACAGCGGAATCAACCGAGTATTGCCCGAATACAAAAGTGCGCCTTTTGTCGACCAATCAAGTGTAATGATTTCAGCCAATGGGAAGCCATAAATCTTATCCAATAGTCAAGGTTTTCTGGAAGCCAGTGACCAATCAACTAACTTCGTGGCAAACACGAAACGTGTAAATACCCGGTTTTAGCGCGGTATCAGTACAGTCGATATCTGACAGATCTACAGAAACCGAATATGTCTGGACGAGGAAAAGGTGGAAAGTCGAAGGCTAAGGCGAAGTCCCGATCAACAAGGGCAGGATTGCAGTTCCCAGTCGGTAGAATTCATCGTCTGTTGAGGAAAGGCAACTACGCCGAAAGAGTTGGTGCTGGGGCTCCCGTCTACTTGGCTGCCGTCTTAGAATATCTGGCCGCTGAAGTGTTGGAATTGGCAGGAAACGCTGCTAGAGACAACAAGAAAAGCAGAATCATCCCCCGCCATCTGCAGCTGGCCATCCGTAATGACGAGGAGTTGAACAAACTTCTGTCTGGTGTAACAATCGCCCAGGGTGGAGTTTTGCCAAACATTCAGGCCGTCCTCCTGCCAAAGAAATCTGGAAGCGCCAAGGGAAAGTCCAGCCAAAGTCAAGAATACTAGACTGATAAGTCAAAGTTTTAACTCAACGGCCCTTTTAAGGGCCACCAATTCTTTCGAAAAGATGCCTTCAGTTACATCGTTTTTATTTTTAGCACACTGAAAAGTCTCCATCGAATGTTAACAGCTGGTTAATGTTAATTTTTAAACTAGATCTATACATGTAACAGAAAATAGGTAAGAATTTTACTTGGCTACGCATACACTGAAATAACTTGGGGGTCGCTATTTTAAATACCATTTTTCAAATTGTATGCCTAATTCTCTTGTCACTGAAATTCGTTAAAGTGTATTTGTTTCGTGCTAGACTGAAAATATTCCACGCATAAAGAAAAATACAATGTAAAGAGGATTAGGCAAAGTCCACAAAGATGCAGAATAAGCCTATTCATTTCTGCAAGGAAAAAAATGAAGTACATGAGCCCATTATCCTGATTTAATAGGATCTGAAGACCACTAGTTTGATTTAGGCCTATGGACCAACTTGTCACTCGTTGGTTCAAAATTTTAGAATGAAATAGTGGTATATACCTCCCTGGGTACTCTTGCTGAGCTTAGGTTAAAATTATGCAGTTTGTAAGAGTATATTAAAATCTTGTCAATGGAAATAAGCCCCTGTGTTAGTACAAAGAAATATTCACATTAGGCCAAAAAAAATAATAGTCTTGTTTCCTGCTACCAGCCTGAAAAAAATGGGTAGGTAGGTAAGAAAATTATTTTATTTTTTCCGAAGGTATTTTTATACATCCATCTTAAGACGGGACGTATTATTTGGATATGACCTAATACAGTGTCATAGGTCAATATAATCTTTTAAATTAAATTTAATGTCTTTTGACTGGAGTGGTATTTTATGAAAGTCCACATTTAAAACATAAAATTTCATCAAATATCACTTGAAAGTATATTTTTTTTCAGTTTTGGAACATGAAATTCCCCGATTTTTTTTCCCCAAAACTAAAAAAAAAACAAACTTTAGGGCCGGGTACAAAAAAATAGGGTCAGTCGGGTAGCAGGAATCAAGACTATTTTTTTGGCCTTACTTGTGTTAATTCCAATAGTTTAACCTAATAGGCTGGATTTCCTCTCCCCTCCCCTCCCCCCACACATTCGACCTCTACCAACTTAGCTATCTAGCCATAGATAACAAAACTTTCTTCCAGCAACATTTCTCTCTCCTAAAATGTCTGCCTAATCTGGCAGGTCTCCACCCCCCTCTTCCTGTGTATGGCACATCGGACTTGATCTTAATTCCGAATTAAAACGTCAACTTCCTCCAAGATTGACCAGGTAGTCCATTTTTGAAATCATTGTTTCAACTTGAATGCAGCCCGCCTGAAGTCTTAGACAAGTGCCCTACCACTGATCTATTTGGCAGTCAGTGGGCGAACCTGCATGACCAACACATTCTTGTCTTTGGCCCCAGTGGTGCAGTTCAGAGGGTCCAGAGTTCAATCCTGGTCTGGTAGGTCACTTTCGCTGCTATGATTGATTCCATGCCATGCTCTGGATATGACAGGTGAAAGATAGAAGGAAATAGCCCTGGATATGACAGGTGAAAGATAGAAGAAAATAGCCCATGTAGGGGGGGGGGGGGGGGGCTACAGACATTGAGGAGAGTGGAATTTGGCAATCAGACGGGTTCCCTTATTGGTGGCTAGATAGCTCAGTTGATAAAGCACTTGTCAAAGGTTCAAATCCTGGTCTGTATCTTTATATTAATTTTTCCATTGTCGTTAATTTGAATCAAAGACAAAACGCAAGAGGGATTGCTTGAATACCTGTTTAGCATCTTCTTATAATATTACAAATAATCAAAGTTATCCTTGTCTTATTTTGAAGTAGCAATGACAAATTCTTGGAAAAAATTGTACATTATGGAGGAATGTGTCATCTGACCATCATTTTCAACCAAGACTGACATCCTCTCCTTTAAAACATGACTATTGATAAGGGTATAACCATTTAACACTAAAACAACTCAAACCTAATTCAAATGTCAACTAGAGGTACTGTGAGCAATGAGCTCACTAAATGATACCCCTGCCTCCCATATGATAATAATGGCGAAGTCCATGTTTTGCTCTGGGAGACCTGAAATAAAATAGGAGGTGCACAATGGAATTATGTAATAAAGAATCTGTGAATGTATCATTAAATTTTAATCAGTGGTATAGGAAGAGTTGCGGATAAGAGATGGGTACCCTTCAGTATTACAGACAGAACATACAGACAGATGGATGGACGTACAGACAGACGGATGGACGTAGACAGACATCTCGATCACTATATACCCTTCCACTTTTCAAGTGGGGGGTATAATAAAACTTTCTCAAAATTACAAATAACAAGGCAACATATATTTTCACTTCCATTGTTTTATTTAGAGTGAATTTTTCGACATTGGATTACCGTTTTCACAATGAAATTAGTGCATAGATATCAGGTCAACAATGCTTTCTCAATTCCTAACAATGCTTCTTCAGTGAACTTCAATTTAAATTTCTCACTTCAACTGCAATTGAAAAAAGGTATTTTTCTTCACCTTAGCTGCCTTATTAAATTACAAATGAAATGTTTAAAGTACTTTATGTGAGAAAATCGAGTGTAATTAGAGCATACACCCATTATTGTTGGATAACTGAAGCATTTTCTCCATTATATTAAGTTGTGAATTGTGTGGGAATGTACATTTTGAAAGATGAAGTATCTGCACTCTGTAAAAATTTTGGAATACATGTACATGATCAATGATATCTATTGAATATTTGTTCCTGAAGTTAAAAATATAGCAACAAATACATGTACACTTTGTATGTACTCTGAATCAACCAGCAACTAAAAATTAAAAAAAGTACAATATATATACCCAATCACAGATTCTATCAAGGAAAATACAGCTTGACTTAGCTATTAAATGTGTGTCATTATTCCTTTCTACTCTTCTGTAAAATACAAATAATCTACCGGTATGCAATAATATTATAAAAACAAACAGAAAAAAAAAAACTGCACGCTGCTGAATTAACCTAAAACATTGTTAAGTATTTTAAATATCAGTATTTGTTCCTCTATATACACATATGCATTAAACTTATTAAAAGAATTAATAAATCCTAGTACTTGGACAGAGGATATTATTTGTTCTTACAAAAACTTGTTTAATGCAGGTGCAACAAGTAAAGAAATCTAGCTCAAAGAAAATCTATCTTCATTCTACATATTAAGTATAAATGGGAGAAGTATTGAAACGTTAGTATCAAACCACTGCTCATTCATGAAACTAAAGTAATTAAACAATTGAAAAATCCAAACACAGCACTATTAACAATTTGAGTCATTATAACTTACTTCCAACAGAAGTAGTGATAACCTAACATATATAATTTTATCATCTACATGTATTTACAAAACTAAGCGCACAATACCTATATGTTATATACACAATGCTTATGCAACAAGAAAAATTCATGCAGACATTTATGAATGGTTACATGGGGACTAATGAGCACACAACATAAATAACTTATTTGATGACATGACATCATATGCATCTCGAACACTTTCCTTGGAACACTTTATTCACATTGTGTAAAAAAAAGTCAATACATTTTTTCCACATGCAGAGTGAACTCTTTAAGATTTTTTGTACAATTTGGCAGTTTTTGTACTTCTGCTGAATTGTTATATGTGCATACTAAATTTTTCTTTGAAATTTTAGTTCACTGAACACATACTGATGTACATAAATGCTTTGTGTAGACCTTGCTAAATTCCATCGACTTCCTTCCGATATATACTGAAGAATGGCACTGTACATATTTAGCAATGTGTAATAAATGATAAATTAAAATGAATCAAATTGTAAGCAAAAGCTGTGAATAAAAAGAACAAAGGTTTCTCTTTTAGAGTACATTGTCAAATTTTAAATTTACTACCATAGACATGGATAATTAGAACCAGTAGCAAAACCATGTGCATTGGGGGTTACTTTCTTGATTACAGCATATTAAATTTATTTATGCTTATTGAACAAATGTAAATGAAATGGTAAGCAGGGCATATCAATGTGAAAGATTTTTCCCCTCTCTTCTACTTGGTTTATTATCCACATGAAAAATTTCCAACTTCACAAAATCAAACAGTCTAAAAAGGAAACTTCTTTGGTAAATTAATATTTAAATCATGACTTTTTAAAACTATTTTTGAAGTCAGAACATTGTTAAGACCTAACACAAAGCATGAATAAACAATCCTGTCTTCATCACACACATTTCAAAAGCTCTCCTCTATCACAGTTTGTCTACCACATATTACATTTATCTACCCCTGCCATCAACCAGTCTCCTCAAAAGACTATATTTTCACAATCCTGGCAACTTTCAAAACAAGTGCCATGGTATACATTCATTGTAAAAAGAACACGCTAGGTTTAATATCCAAAATTTGGGATTTCCATGAGAATCAAAGGCTACATCATGATCTTCATAAAATCATTACACATAACTTGAATGCATACAAAAACTATGCACAATCAATTTTAAATGTAGAAAATATGTAATTACTATAAGAAATGATGTAATTACTAGTTCATCATCAGAAGTTCAGAACATTAAACAAATTCAAGTGGTTATAAATGTCAAAGTACGTCAATTTATTAAGTCCACATTAAACAATGTAAAGTAACCCATGATGAGGCGCTAGAACCATGATGCAACTCTTTGTCTCTGAAATATTAAAGACTGCTCCTCAAACGTAGTCAAGTTGCTGCCATTTCTTCCCTGTAGTCCAATATGGGCACAGATCAAGTTTCCTCTCTAGCATTCCTGTCATACACTTCTTCAGAATTTACAACAATTCTTTCAAAATGACAGAAAACAATTTTTTCAACATGTAATGTTGAAAAAGGAATCGGTCACTTTCTGTCGGATTTTCTTTTTTGAGCCACATCTTCTTCCAAAATTCCCTTTGCATGACACGAGCTTATTAGCTCATCTCTACAGGACTAGACCTGTCTGTATCACTATCATCTGAGAAATCCTCAGAAGGGGTCTCTGTGGCCCTTGAATGCATGTCTGAATGAGAGCCCATATTAGAGTCTTGTGAATAAATATTGGCCACCTCAATGTCCATATTGTCGTTACTGTTGCTGCCCGAAGATTGGACGGAAGGTTGAGCAGGTACTTTATATCTGTAAAGACAGAAAACTTTTCTATTCCAAATAATCCCACAGAACTTCACCTTTGTTAAACGTTTCTAGTTTAGATTTGTTTTTTTTTAAAACTGTAAAGTACATTATTAAGAAATAAAATATGACTCAATTAAACCAATATGCAACATTAAGACTGTCCTTGAATAAGATTACCCTCTTTAAAAAGAAGAGCTGTTCACTGATAAGATGATAAATCGTCTTTCCTCTTAATGAATATAAGACAGGGATCTCTTAGTGTTTAAAACCACAAATAAAGCCGAAATTATTCAAACGCTTACAATATATTCAATCTTAACTATTATGTAGTTTATTAAGCTATTTTCTTTTCTGTTTCAAAGACAACATGAACTTAATGAAAAACTTTTATCTTTACAAGAGGCCCATGGGCCTTGAATCGCTCTTCTGATAAACTGTACAACCTATCACTTCTATTTGAAGTATCCTGTATATTTACATAAACTCTTGAAATTCCAATTCACACTCTGAGAACCCAAGATGATTCTAAGCCAATTAGTACCTGAGAGTTGGTCATGATGACCTACTTATCACTTGTCATTCTCTGAGGACCCATCAACTAAGTTTGATGATTCTAAGCCAATTAATACCTAAGATATTTTTTAAAATTATAATCATAAAATTTTATAAGTAGGTCAAAGTGACCTACTTTTCAATTGTTTTACTCCAAGGACCCAAGATGCATCAACTGACAAAGTTTGATGATTCTAAGCCAATTAATACCTGTAATATTTAATCAAAGCCATAAATTTTTCAAAAGTAGGTCACCATGACCTACTTTTCAGTTGCTGTACTCCGAGGACCAAAGATACATTGACTGACAAAGTTTGATGATTCTAGCCAATAAGTACCCAAAATATTTAATTAAAGCCATAAATTTTCAAAAGTAGGTCACAGTGACCTACTTTTCAGTCAACCTACTCCGAGGACCAAAGATGCATCAACTGACAAATTTTGAAGATTCTAAGCCAAATAATTCCTGAAAATATTAAATACAGCCATAAAACTTCAAAAGTAGGTCACCGTGACCTACTTTTCAGTTGTTGTACTCCGAGGACCCAAGACGCATCAACTGACAAAGTTTAATGATTCTAAGCCAATTAGTACCCGAAATATTTGATTAAAGCCATAAATTTTCAAAAGTAGGTCACCGTGACCTACTTTTCAGTTGTTGTACTCCGAGGACCCATGACGCATAAACTGACAAAGTTTTATGATTCTAAGCCAATTAGTACCCGAAATATTTTATTAAAGCCATAAATTTTCTGAAAGTAATACACGGTGACCTACTTTTTAGTCGACCTACTCCGAAGACCCATGACCAATCAACTGACAAACTTTGATGATTCTAAGCCAATTAGTACCCGAAATATTTAATTAAAGCCATAAATTTTCAAAAGTAGGTAACAGTGTCCTACTTTTCAGTCAACCTACTCCGAAGACCAAAGATGCATCAACTGACAAAGTTTGATGATTCTAAGCCAATTAGTACCCGAAATATTTAATTAATGCCATAAATTTTCAAAAGTAGGTCACTGTGACCTACTTTTTAGTCGACCTACTTCGAAGACCCAAGATGCATCAACTGACAAAGTTTGATGATTCTAAGCCAATTAGTACCCGAAATATTTAATTAACGCCATAAATTTTCAAAAGTAGGTCACTGTGACCTACTTTTTAGTCGACCTACTCCGAAGACCCAAGATGCATCTACTGACAAAGTTTGATGATTCTAAGCCAATTAGTACCTGAAATATTTAATTATAGTCATATAAATTGAAAAGTAGGTCACGGTGACCTACTTTTCAGTTGACCTTTTTTGAGGACCCAAGATGCATCAACTTACAAAGTTTTATGATCATAGGACTTAAAATGTCCAAATTATGCCTCTAAAACGCTTTGAAATCGAATGCCTGCAAAGTTCAAAAAGTAGGTCACTGTGACCTACTTTTTAATAAATATGTTTTATGGCCCCAAGATGCATCATCTTACAAGATTTAATGATTCTAAGCCTGGCAGTATTCGAATTAATGACCTCAATTGTTTTTAAAAAGATTAGCCATAAAATTCAAAAAGTAGGTCAAGGTGACCTACTTTTTAGTTGACGTACTTTGAGGACCCAAGATGCATCAACTGATAAAGTTTGATGATCATAGGCCTTAAATTGTTCAAAATATGCCTCTAAATCATTTTGAAAAAGAATGGCCGCAAAATTTAAAAAGTAGGTCACCGTGACCTACTTTTGAGTCAACATGATATGAGGTCCTTAGATGCACCAACTGACAAGATTTGATGATCCTAGTCCTTATAGTAAGCAAAATATCAACATTTTAATAAAATGTAATTTTTAGTCAACTTTGAAGTGACCTTGAGACCACGCCCTTTGCCCCAGGGTAAATCCCCGTGCAAATTTTAATCTACAACATATCCTCATCCTTTTGTGTAAGTTTGGTGATAATCTGCCCAGTGGTTCTTGAGAAGAAGATTTTTTAGCAACCAGTACTTTTGTTTCTATTTTCCTAATTATCTCCCCTTGTTAAAGGGTCACAACCCCAGTTTTAGTATAAAAGGGAGCCCTTGGGCCAAGGATACCCTGTGACAAATTTGACAATTATTGGCCAAGGGGTTCTTGAGTTATGGCCCATATTCTAAAAAGTTTACGCACACCGCACAAATGGCCATAGCATTAGCTCTTTGAGCCTTTGGCTCAGAAGAGCTAAAAATCTTAACAAAGCCAGCATAATCAAACAACTATGGCACAAAGTATAGTTTACCTTTTATTTTGGCTTAAAATTGTAAAAAAATTATTTCCTAAATATCACTGATGTTTGGAATATGACCAATGATCAAGGTTAACAACATTATCTAATGCCAGTTAAACTAATGTGTAAAATTTATCATTTGAGGCATGTTAAAGGATCATAGGCTATTTTTTGTGAGTGCAGATATCCACCAACACCCTACCAATAGATGAATAAATGAATCCTCAATATCCCCACCATTTAATGCAGGGGTAAAAAGCTATGAAGCAGTTCTACAAGAATAGTTTACCTGGAAGATCCTTCTTCTGCTGACATAGGTCGGATACCACTGGGACCAGAATGTGCCATTCCACCATTGGCTAAGTCTACAATGTAGTTTTCAATAGGTGACATCAAAAACAGACTTCTGAAGTTAATGTATCATTAATGTATGGTCTCTGACCAGTAGAGCTAAAAAACACCTGCCTTAAAAACAATTGCTACTTTTCACAGGTTTTGAACACATAATTTTAAGGTCAATGATAATGTGCGAGGTAAACTGACTCCCAAAACTTGATCAGCGAGTGTCCCTCAACTTACCTATCACATACGGCTCTAAAGCTTTTGGGACCATTTTAACAGCTTTGTTTACATCTTGAGTCGTGCACTGACCCTTTTCCAAATTAAGAGCCATACCCATCCTCTTCAAGACCTCAATATCATCATGAATTTCAAAGGTGTTGTCAAAGTTAAACAAATATTCGTATCTGAAAAGAATACATTACATACATGTAAAACAATTTTGGCTTGGCTACATGTAACACTTCATATCAAGCAAATCGTTATTTGTTTGAAACCTAATGCAAAAGTCAGTGCCACACAAAATCCTACTTGTAATATTTCAAAGAACAAAAACAGCTTCTGATTAATACATTCAGCTTGTTTTATAAAAAATTTCACTACAGAAGACAAATATATATACATGTCCAAGGTATTGAAAAATTTGTCTGTCAACAAACTGAACCAATCTGAATACAAAAGAGACTGCAATTCTACTAGTTTGAACTTGTAATAATGGAAAAGAAAAGTTGCCTTGACTGTTTTTTTGAATTTGTTATCTAAACTTGTACTATGTTTTCTTAAATCAATTCAAGTCTGCAAGAAGAAGCATTTTGTACGATTTAAAAGTTCTAGTTGCCATTTTTACTAAATTTAAACCAATGCACAGAATTATGTACCTTGGGGAAGTCTCAAGTACCATGTTTAATCGATATCAGACCAAATGTGTAGGAAGAGTAGCATTTAGAAAAAATTTCACAGAAAATTTCTATTATTGGTGACTATGGAAAAGCTGTTCATTCTAATGAAAAACCAATAAAAAGTATTACGGATCCTTGTATGGTCTACTTCCGAACCAAGTTTTATTAAAATCGGACTAAATCTGTCCGACAGACAGACAACACTTCATTATTGCACAGCCTCTGGTCATTGACCATTAGATCAAAGAATAAATGATATAAAGTAGGTACAGACGTACTTGTCATTTGATATGGAGCAATCTATGACAGTCTTTTTACTGGTGTTGACAATGATAAACGGCAGCTGTATAGCGGAGTTCTGTGGAGGCGGGCCTTGTGTTTTCTCTAGTTCTCTGTTTCTCTGCACTAGGTTTTTGAAAGCTATTTGCTGTTAAATAAATAAGAACATGTTGATAAATCAAAGAGGAGTACTTGTGGTATTAACCCTTTCAACACTGTAGACCGCTACAATGGTCTGATAAAATTTCGCCTTCAACACGGTAGACCGTTGAGGCGGTCTCAGACACAAAACTGAAAGTAAACATGTTTATTCTTAGAAATAGAAAGTATTATCTGCGCAAAATCTTTCACTATGACTTATGGGTAGATTGATGTAAACATCCGTTAACAAATATGGCAGACCACATGGTGAAAATCATGGAAAAATAAGGAAAATTGTACGAATCTTAAAGGAAACAAAGAAGAAAGCAAAATGGCGGTTGACATCGAAATGTCCAATCTTTCTGACGACAAAAACTGAAATAAAAACAGGGACTTAGACATTATAGACATTCCTAGACAATAAAGATATGATTAATAAACAATGTTGTGAAAGGTTGTCGGAGAAACTTGACTTGCAATCGGACCATGAAGGCTCCGAGACGGAGCACGTTTACGCAGCCCCGGACTTTTCTCAATATCTTGAAACACCATGTTTTATCTATTTATTTTTCCGGACTTATTCTTCAATAAATTATGACATATTGCATATCATTTTACTTGGAAATAATTTCTCTTTTAAACAATGGTAAGAACATATATGATATTGAAACTTCATAGCAGCAAATTTATCAAAATATTACATAAAATCATTTAAAATATAAAATTATAATTTTTATTAGTGCCTTTGTCTTGTTAAATAATTTTGAATACATATAAATTTTGTACCATCTGAAAGAGAAATGTCTTATCTTTCATATGATGTGTCATTTATTAAAATATTTAAAGAAATAAAGAAGTTATTGTATTTTTTCTGATGACAGTTGGATTTTCTTATGATGGCTTAAGTTACTTGGTGTACTGGGGGTTGGTTGATAAAAGTTACTCAGTGTTGAAAGAGTTAAAGAACTATTTGAATGCATGTATAACCAGAAGTCTCTGATGAGACTGTAGCTCTACTGGTCTGTACATATACATGTAACAAAGAAAACGTAGCACTTGGATTTGAAACTTTCCAACATGCAGCAATAAATAGAATTATGTACCTTAATATAGTCTACTTGTGTGCCAAGTTAAATTGAAATCAGATCAAAACTGTAGGAGGAGTAGCGTTTTAAAAGAAATTCACAGAAATTTCTATTTTTAGTAACCATGGCAACATCGTTCATCCAAATCAAAAACTGATGCTCTGAATTATGTATCTTAGTGTAGTTTACTTGTGTGACAAGTTATATTGAAATCAGATTAAAACTGTAGGAGGAGTAGCGTTTTAAAGGAATTTCACAGAAGTTTCTATTTTCAGTAACCATGGCAACACTGCTCATTGAAATTAAAAACCGATGCACTAAATTATGTATCTTAGTGTAGTCTACTTGTATGCCAAATCATATTGAAATCAGATCAAAATTGTGGAAGGAGTAGCATTTTAAATGAATTTCACAGAAATTTCTATTTTTAGTACCCATAGCAACATCGTTCATGGAAGTCAAAAACTGATGCACTAAATTATGTATCTTAGTGGAGTCTACTTAAGTGCCAAGTTGTACTGAAATCAGACCAAAACTGTAGGAGGAGTAGCGTTTTAAAGGAATTTCACAGAAATTTCTATTTTTAGTAACCATGGCAACACTGCTCATCCAAATCAAAAACCGATGCACTAGATTATGTATCTGAGTGTAGTCTACTTGTGTGCCAAGTTATACTGAAATCAGACCAAAACTGTAGGAGGAGTAGCATTTTAAAGGAATTTCACAGAAAATTCGATTTTTAGTAACCATGGCAACACCGTTCATCCAAATCAAAAACCGATGCACTAAATTATGTATCTTAGAGTAGTCTACTTGTGTGCCAAGTTATATTGAAAACAGATTAAAACTGTAGGAGGAGTAGCATTTTGAAAAATTGTTTACAGACAGACGGACAGACAGACAGACGGACGGACGCCGGACACCTTACTATTGCATAAGCTCTTCTGGTCTCTGACCAGTAGAGCTAAAAATTGAATGATCAATTTACCTGAAGAATAAGTTCTTGGAGCTGTTGTGTTTTGTGTTTGATTCTTTCAAGCCTCTTCTGTTTTTCTATCTGAAATAATAATAACCACAAAGTTTAATACCTCTCATCTCAGATCACCAGCACATGCTTTTACATGCTCTTTACCTCTATAAATATTAAGCAATGGCAATCGCAGTTACTACCATATGTAAAATGAACACAGAGATTAAGCATGATTTCAGGACAACTTGAGAAACTAATCACAATTTTCCTTACTGCACATTCATACCTCTAAGTTTTGGCACTCCTGTGCTGAGTTAGTAGGCAGACCTATCCACTTAATTTCTTTCTTTTCTTTAGATATTATATTCATGGCCATCAACACATTAAGGGCATCATAGACACGCCTCCTGATATTCTTTTGATCATAGGCCTAAAATTCAAATTAAAGATAGAAAAGACTTCTTTCTTAACAGTCACATATCAGTACAAATCATTTCAAACACTTTACTGCACAACACGTTATTGCACATGGCTAAAAAAAAATGTTGTTTTTTTTTTAAATTCACACTCTGTGATTAGAAAGTGGTATAATGCATAATGGATGCTTTTATGGCCAAGATCAAACCTGGTCTGATGGTGAGGTCAAATTTCGAGGATCACTGAATTCTGTAACCAGTTCATCTGCCACTTCATTGTATGATGTCACTCCTTTTCTTTGAACCTTCTCACAAACTTTCATTGAGAAGTGTCGTAATCCTTTGCCACCTTTTTCTCCTTTCTTTCCTCGTTTCCTGAATTGATATAAATTGTGCATTACATAAATGCAATAATATCAAATTGTTTATAACGACAAAATTATTGCCATCTCCCAAATTTTGCCTTTACAAGCAGAAACACTGCCTTTTGGATATTTTAGCCCATCCCCTGTTTCTTTTTTTCCCCTTTGGTATATGTCATTGATACACAAATTAAGAAGAGATTCAGGGAAATCAGAATTGATCAACCTTGGTACACAAGTCAAATGCAAAATACAGATGCATCCTGGTGTATACAGTATAAAAGGTCCTATCAAACTTCAAGGTATAGTCTGTCACTTATTTTATTCATTTAAATTATTGTTATTATGTACTAACTGGTGACTACGTTTTAAGCCTAAATTTGATAACATCCATTTCGTTTAGATCTACATGGTTTTATCTACAAATTTTACAATACTAACCCAAAGCCATCATCTGGCTCTATTGTGAATTCAGAGGCCCTCTTCTGAGCCCCTGATCTCCAGGACACATCAATGGGAATCATGGGCTGTCTTGGGCTGGTCACTTGTTGTATTAGCTGCTGTGTCGTTAACTGGAATAAAAATTAAATTGTCAGTAAAGAAAAGGTTGCTTTTTTTAGAATGGTGGATAGAATTCTGTATAATTATTATCCCAAAGACAAAATGTGGCTTGCTCTAGCTTAAAAGAATTCCTATATTTATTATGTGGTAAACTTGACATGGACATTTCTTGCCTCCCAATTAAATTTTATTTCAACTATTTCATTGCTATAAGATGGGGTGAAGGAAAAATGAATAGCTATTACTCATGCAAGTAAATTTACAAATTAAAGTTGTGCATTTTGTAGTGCATGATTGCCTTCATGTTTTTTTGTTTGTTTTTGTTTTTTTTTTGTTTTTTTTTTGGTGAGAAAATTATTACATGGACAATTTTCATTGCAGCATCACAGAATTTTATCAGATCATACACTGTACCTGCTTTGGAAGTATTGTGTGCTCTTTGAATGGAGACATTTTAGCAGGAGATGTTGTAGATATTGGTACTGCAACTAACTGCACAGCTACATAAAGAAGAAGAAAAAAAAATTCAAGATTAAATGAAAACAGCTAGCAAATTACAATGACATCATTATATGTATCATAGTGTTTGTATGTTTACTCATAATGGAATATTTCATGAAAATTTCAACTTACAGGCCTGAGTTGTATTAGTTGTTTTCTTACCTTTCCCTGCACTCTGGACAGTCTGTGTTTGAAATCCAGCGATATCACCATTGGAATCAAGCAGTCCCACCTGTCAAATGAAGCAAAATATGATTAGTGTCAAGGTGAAAAAAAAACTGTATTGCTTATACTTGAATATGCATATAATCATATTCGAAACAGGTCTTATGGTATTGGGAAAATAAGCAGACAATGACAATATTAGTTAAAAGTTCACCTTTGTAGGTGTATCCTTAAATATCATCATGTAACTGATGTTTCAACTATATGTACCATTTTTTCTTCATGATCACAAACTTGCTCAGGAACTATTTTAACGTATTTCATTGATATTATCTTTCTACACATATCAAAAGATGGAGTCTAAGCAGGCCTGTGCTCAATATTTCCCAGTCAAATTATCAACATAAAATATCCTATTTTCTTTCAAAATTATCGAAAAGTTGAATTTATGTCATTTATTGACGTCATGTAGAACGTCACAGTGGATAAAGATATTTCAATGCTTTAAAGTCTGCATATATCCTCCTGGCTTAAGTTTTACCCTATCAAGGGTTGATTCAGGGGGCAGATATTAGCCATTAACAACTAAAGTCCTTTCTAAAACTATGATGTCTTTAATCAACCCAATGTATAAGAAGTATTCTAAATAATATCAGTCTATTATCCAAGATATTATACAAGCACCAACACAACTAACCAAAGCTGTCAATGACTGGAAAATTTAATCAATTGAACCATTTATCACAATCTTCAGTCATTCTGTTGGTCTTTAAACGTTATGCAAGTTTTTAAAAAGACAGATCATTAAAGATCAGGCAAAATCATCCCGGATCTATATGGCATTTCCTTTTGACATTTAACAATCTGGGTGTTGAATTTAAAGCTTTTCATCTAAGAATGCATAATGGCAAAAGAAATTATGACCTGTATTTTTTGGTTAAGAAACATTCTAGGATGTCCTAGACATAAAGAGACCCTGTTAAAATGCTTTTAATTCTGTTCACAACAAAATCTTGCAGTCTATCACCAAATATTGCCTGAAATCATTTCAAGTACATTCAAGACATAATTCACATTAGTATACCAAGAAGCTGACTTTGATCTTCCCTTTTAAAGTAACATTGTTTACAAAATGAAGTGAGGTCAAATATATTACACAACTCATTTCAGCAATGGTAAACATATTGCCCACTAAAAGTTAACACAACACCATCCCCTGTTAATGACTGGTCTACGTTTACTGCTGTACACTTAACTGGACTGTTTATTTAATGAAAGATTAAGCTACTTGTTCATCCTGCTTGTAATAAACCATTCACTCCCACTGTCAAGTTAAACTTGACACAACACAGGAACCTAATTCACAATACTACTCACTCCTTATCCATGCTGGTTTCCCTTTCTAACAGCTTATTATTGATAATGCAAACTCAGCAGTGCAGAGTTCAGCAATGCTTCTTTGCAGATATTGGAATGTAAAGATGACCATGACCTTAACCAAGCACATTAATAAATGAAGTCAAGCAAGATGACTAAAATTCAATCTCTCTCATAAACAATTGCCTATAATCTCAATGGTTGTTTTATTACCATTCATAATGGTAACAATTTTTAGAAGCAAGCATACCATCATGTCCCAGTATTATCAATATCCACTAAGTATCAAAGAAATTGAAAACATATACCTCTTCTTGGATCAACATTGCTTTCCTGTCTAACGTCAAACAAATGGAAAAACCCTTTATTTAAAGCCAAGGCATGTGCTATACAGCTATAGGAGAGACAAAGAACCAATGCTAGGGTCATTCAGCAGTGTCACCTATAGTCTGTTTCTGTTAGCCCCTTGATCCATAACAGCTCCTATCTAGGTCAACCCACTACCACACATCTTTAAAAAGAAACTAACGGTCCTTTTCATTTTCGTGGATCATTTTAAATATATATTTGCTACTGAGAAATTTACAACTGTAGTACTAATTATGGGTGGAGTGAACCACGTCCTAAAATATAATCTATAAAAAATTACAGTTTAACAATATAACTTTTCATTCCCTGGATAGTGAAATAGGACTACATATTCAAAGAAAACCTCACAGGTTGTGATTCACAAATGATTATAAACAGCTGTATGTAAATAAACCAAGCTTGACTGAACTTCTGTCAGAAACTGCTGCTATTAAATAAAGACTCATAAACAGTGAAAAAACACAATAAAATAAAATTAAAATACTTGAGAGTGTAAATATATATAATATTTATCTTCCAGAGAACATTTTGCTTAAGGAAAATAATCAGTCTTGGGCAAAGCTAAATCCAGTTTTTTTTTCCTCAAGTTTTCAGCTATTTTTTTAAGTTAGTAAATTCTCAAAGAAAATACATGTACTATGGCTTTGCTGCTATATTAATCTCCTAGACCTTAATTCTGTTTTTGTTCATAAGAGGGGTGTGCAAATAATACACACACACACACCCATCCCCCCCCCCCCCCCCCCCCAAAATGTTACGAGGATAAAAATAAATTATGAAAGAAACTAAATGGCATATATACCCATTTAAAAATTCAGAGGGCTCAACTTTGCATTAAGAAATGTACATGTATTCTTCTTTATAGAATCACCAGAAAAATATGCCTGCTTAGTGGTATAACATATATATCATTTTTTACTCTTTAAGAAGAAACTGACTTGATGTCACTATGAATTTTAGTCCCTTTCTGCAAAAAGTTTTTGATGAAAAAAAAACAACAACACTGGAACTGACAAATGTGGGGTAATTATAAAAATCTTTAAAAAAAAAAAAAATACTGGCCATTAAGTTTGAAAACATATAATGTAACAGTGGGTTATAAAATTTTAGGTTGAAATTAGTGAATTTCAATCATTATGCTGAATTGTGTACCTTTGTGTTGTAAACTTGTGAACCAAGTTTCATTACATTGGGTTCATATAGTAAAAGGGTAAGTATTTTGAAAGAATTTCATAGGACCTTTTTTTTCCAGAAACCATAGCAAAACCATTCACTGAAATCTAAAACTATTGTTTCTTGGAGAAGTTTACTTTTGTACTAATAAACTGAAGGAGGAGTGGTGTTTTGAATTCACAGAAATCTTTACTTTTAGTTACCATGTCAGCACTGTTAATATAAATTTTGTTACTGATTCAGGAAAATAGACATCATTTAGCTCATGACTGAGCATCTGTCCATACTAGATGCTACCTTTTAAGGAGGTTCGATCCTGAGCTTTTGAGCAGATTTTGGTCTGGACATTTATTTCTAAAATTCTGCATCATTTATAAGTTCTAACATTAAATCTGGATTCTACAATGTAAATTAAACTATATCCAATGAAAAAAACGCGTTTAAATTCCATTCAAATAGGATTAAGCCAGGAACTATATTTTGTGGCGGAAGGTTTTTTAGAAGAAAATGATCAATTTTTCCCTTTTGAAATATATACAGTACTGTTAAGTTTATATTCCTATTTTTCCATGCTGGTTGCAAACAGAGCTGTTTTTTTTGCAGTGAAATGTTTTATGCTGGTTCTGAAATATCTATTAAATTATTTCTTATGAATTCTTTCATTATATTGTGACTAATATAGTAAATATATTCTGAAAGTCCGGGAAAAAATTGAGCCAATTTTAACGTAAAATTAACACTTTTTTTTAGTAATATCTAAAAATTTAGATCATAGACCCCCACTTTTGTTTTTCTTTTCTGAATATACAAGATAACTTTGATCAATCTGCTTAAATTCAGCAAAAGTTTAAGACTTTAAAATAATTTTCTGCTGGTTAAATTTTTGATGCCAGAAAAATCACATTTTGTGAGTGCAGAAAGGTCAAGTAATTGATTTAACAAAGCAATTTGAAACTTTTTCTTAGTCACAACTTTAGTGTCTTTTTTTAAATAGACTAATAGTTTATTTTGTCCCATGATTTATTTGGATAAAAACTTTGGAGGGAAAACATCAAAGATGTGATTTTTGATTAAGACACAAATTTCAGTGCAAAAAGGTCATATTAAATGTACTGTAGCACCAAAAGAAGCATATTGACCCTCATTTTTTGTTTTGATTTTTAATTAAGCTATGTGTGTAGAAACTAAAAATATACTTCACAAAAAAAGTTTAAGACTTTAAATATCAGGATCCAACCTCGTTAAATATCTTAGCATAACTCTAATGCCTTAGAGTTAATTTTTAAATCTAAGTTAGCTTAGCAGAAAGTTGAGCAAAAGTCAATCTGACATTTAGAGGTGCAATGAATTTAAAAGACATTGACTTGATAAAGTTACATTCAAAATATAACAAAATGCCTTATAAACTACAATAATTAATATTATAAACTTGAACCTGCTGGCCACCAAATCATGTTAGCTATTACATATAATTAGTCTTTCATGTTAGAACTGAAACCACAGTTTGCCAAACAGATGGAAACTGGACAAGTGACCAGATAAGCTTACTGGCACTTTTAAATCCAGTGAAAGCACAGTAAAACAGCTTTTTCAGTTTGAGGCATACTGATAGGGGTGCAAAGATAACCAAACTCACGATACGATTCATATTGTGATATTCAGTTCAACTTCACAATATAATACATACATCACAATACTTTGTTTTAAATAAACACACAGGTAAGCATAAATGTATGAAATAATAATTTTAAAAAAAACAATTATATTACATTTGCTATCACATCTTTTTTTTTTTAAATATGACATGTTTACATCAAATAACAGACCTGTTTACCCATCTTGTTGTCTCTGAGTATTTTTTATTAGATTTGTCAGTGAGATTTGGCATTTGCCCGTAAGATTTCACTTTCCATTGATTTTACATATATTACTAGAGAACAAGTATATGTGCATTCTGATTACCGAAACATGGTTTAATAACAAAGAAAAACATCATAATTTGCTTTCTTGCGAAGGGTTTCTGTAATTTTTTGAAAACACTGCGTTTTGGCAACCTGACATCACTTAAGTGTTTGAAATCTATCTCATTTTTTAGCAATTAAAAAGTGTCAAACTAAGACAGATCATAACGAAAATTAACAGCTAAAA